GTATCTTCTGGATTTAAAACTTCGGATTTCCTATTCAAATGTTTAATTCTTTCCTGGGAACGGTTAATTGGATAATTATTTTAGCTTGTGTAATCATTGAATCGGGGAATTGCATACTAAATAAGTGATTAGTGATTAGTGTATACAGATATCAGGACATGTATTCATGCATTGAAATATATCGGAAATCTAGGCGGATATCAAAATCAATGTTGGACAGAGATATTTTGGAATCATTTACTTTCGTGGATACTAATTTTCTTGGATTGAGGGAAAATTTTACATTTTTATGCCCCACCTACAATAGTAGTAGGGGCATTATGTTTCTGGTCTGTGCGTCCTTTCGTTCGTTTGTCTGTTCGTCCGTCCATCCGTATGTCCCGTTTCAGGTTAAAGTTTTTGGTCAAGGTTAGTTTTTGATGAAGTTGAAGTCCAATCAACTTGAAACATAGTACATATGTTCCCTATGATATGATCTTTCTAATTTTAATGCCAAATTAGAGTATTGACCCCAATTTCACGGTCCACTGAACATAGAAAATGATAGTGCGAGTGGGCCATCTGTGTACTCTGGACACATTCTTGTTTTTTTTTTGTATTTTCATAGATATTAGATTTCGTGGCTTTTTCAAATCTACTTACAAGTTTATAGAAAATTTGAATATTTAGATTCGTGGTTTAACCTTTACCCATGAAATACACAAAAATTGGTATTCCACGAATAATGATTAATCCACAGTAGTTAAATTTTTCTCCCCCGCATAACGCGTTGCGGGGGACATGGAAATACTGGGCGTCCGTCCAGTCTTGTCAGCGCTCTCACAGGAACAATTCTTGCCAGATTTTTATAAAACTTATACTATAGGTTAATATCAGCAATATCTCGGACAAGTCATATAATGGTGGACGATCGACTTTTTTTATGCCCCCGCCGTAGCGGAGGGAGCATTAAGTTATACCCTTGTACATCTGTACGTCCCAAAATTGGTTTCCGTTCTCTAACTTTAGTTTGCCTCAACCAAATGTTATGAAACTTATACACAATGCTTATTATTTAAAGAGTTATGCCCCTTGGAAATATTAAATTTATGGAAAATGGCCTTGTTAGTGCTCTCAACTCTTGCCCACTAATGGACAGTCCACTCTTGCCCACTATTGACAGTCCACTCAAGCCCCCTATCGACAGTACACTCTTGCCTTTTATGGACAGTACCGTTTGCCCGTTTGAAATTAATCAAATTAATTAAATATTGAATAGAAAATCTTTACATGATGTGTAATCCAACAGTTTGCCACAGGGAACTATCTAGAAGATTTGCCCATACTTTGACCTTTCCCACCTTGAGGGGGTGTAAATGAAACAATCCTTCCTAGCTGTAGTATATCCTGCAATTGATTGCTATGGGATTTAACATGAGATTTATCAACTAAATCTTAAATAACCATTTTCAAAAAGCACAGACATTAGACTTTTAGAGGTTTTACCAGTATATTTGTGGAATCTAAGAGAAAATAATCACCTGTTTTCATTTCCTGTCTTAAAAGTTACCAGATCAAGTCAGGATGCTATACAGGTACCAGATCATTAAGATTGTAAAATAAATGTATCTTTTCTTGGGAAGTTCATCCAGTATGGAATGAATAGTGAGGATTTCCATACTTAATAATTCACTTCGTTGCTTTATAAGTGCGTCAGAGTTCAATAATGTATGTAAATACTTAATTTAGATTGTAAGTACATTATATATATATATATATGTCCATTTTGTTACATCTGGTGATCCGTTTATTTGGCAATCGCCAATGGCAGTCAGCAGGGTTTAAGAACATCCGTTGTTCGACCTGCTAGTCAAATGCGTTTTGTTAAAATATACTAATTCCCTTTTTTGGTCTTTTTGAAAATGTTGTTTGTGCTGTATTTAGACCCCTCTACCAAGAAATTTGTTTTGCATGCACACATATAAAAATTGGGGTATTTATCCTACACAATCATAGGTTTGAACGTTGTTTTCAATTTAGACTTGTATAAATATACTAGTATATACAAACATAAGATATTGATTCTTAGAGAGAGAGAGAGAGAGAGAGAGAGAGAGAGAGAGAGAGAGAGAGAGAGAGAAGGGAGAAAAAAAATTGATTGATTAATTGATTGATTGGTGTTTAACGCCACTTTCAGCACTATTTCGTGGCGGTCAGTTTTATTGTTGGAGGAAGCTGGATTTTCCCTGGAGATAACAAACGTCCTACGGTAGGAAAACTGACAATCCTAGTCAATTAAGATTGGAGTCTAGTGCACCTGCCCTGTGTGGGGTTTCCAACTCACAACCTTAGTGTTGGCAGGCTAGTGATGCAGTAGTTCAACTACTTTTCTCTTGATAAAATTTGACTACTTAGACCACGCCTACCAAGCCCCAACTAAAAAAGACATACAAAGGCTAATAGTTTTACTAGTATGGAAGATTCAGTGTTGGGCAATGTGGATCTAGGGGGCCCCTGAATGGGCTATGACCCACTTTATGGCATTGTGGTGTTTTATTACAATTTCTGAATTTTGACTGTCTGCAGGCTTCCTTTATTATTCATGCAGTGTGTACTTCTGAAACTCAAGGAAACTTTTGCAACTAAGATTAGAATTAGCTACAATTTACATACTTTAAAACAACAGCTATACCATTCTGGGATGATTCACAGTTGAATACACGAGTCAGTGGTCGAGTATTTATATTTTATAAATATTTAAAATGTAGAAAGTCTTATAACAACAATTAACACTTTTAAGGACTGCTGCAGAAAATTTATTTATCTACATGTTTTGGTGCCAAGGGCACCGTCATCAGAATCATAACGACCCTGCATACCTGATGTATCCCTTTCAGGGACTCTACCATACTACAGATTTACCAGACGTTGGTTCACTTTAGCTTTCGCTTGTAATTTATTAATATTTAGGTTCAGATCCTGAAACTTTGAAAAAAAAAGATGGGGTCGGGATGGAAAGATTTAGGTTTCTATAAGGTGTTTCTACCTAGAAAAGGGAGATAACCGTCTAATGTTCACTTATTATCATATGTTCAAAAATTTAATAGAGATTGAGCGACCCAACCCAAGAAATCCAAAGAATCCAGAGTGCCAATTTTATATACTGTGAATTCACTTATTTTCGTGGGTACCAATTTTAGTGGATTGCGGAAAACTTGGCTTTTCATGGATATGTGATTTCGTGGTTCTGTGCCAAATTCTGCATACAACCTTATAGAAATTTGTATTTCGTTGAACATTTAAATTCGTGGTTCACCTGTACCCACGAAACCCACGAAAATTGGTATCCAACGAATAATAATGAATCCACAGTATTATATATCGAGAAACTTTACATACGAAATTCAATTCTGTTTGTAATTTATGATTCAGACTACAACATTCAATGTTATATACAGATATTTGAAGGTTGTCGCTTTGAAATAATAGTTGTGTCTGTAATTCAATTTAGCCTTTTAAATTAAGTTTAGGATGAACAGGAAATTTACCTACAAAACTTGTATATTACGGAATAGATTACTGCATATATATTACAAATAATGTTTCTTTTTATGCAGTTAATTGCATGATTATAGGATGAACTCAATTTATCCTTTAGAATTGAATTTCTGACGTAATATGATCATCATTTTGAATTGTACAGTATAGACTTGAAGGAGTTTCATACATGATATTTTGTGACTCAATCCGGCAATCAGAAATGTAATTTCAAACATGTATATCTGTCTGAAAGATGCATAATATCTATGATCTGTGAGATTACATGAAATTTATTGATATTTATAACAAATTAACAGCAATAACATAAACATATAGTCTTATAGATACATGCATTCTTAAGAAAGTTGTTAAGAAACGAACACATTAATATGAAATGTACATTACTGAAAGATATTTCTGGTGAAATTGATTCGCATGCAATCAAACATGCATTAACCTGGAGCTATATACATGAAGGTTGAAAATTGACATGGTTTGTTGTTGAGGAAATTTATCATCAGTTTTTAGAGGGAGGAATTGAAGGTCTTAATTTATAAATTTACATTTTTTTTACTCAAGGTTTTGAATCAGAAGACAGTTAATATAGCTACAAGCCAGTGTAATTTTTTATTTTAATTTTTACTGAATCTAATTTTAATAAATAAGAGATGGCAAAAACATAATGTTGTAAGACAATTGATTATTGTAGGCAATATATCAAACTGTTTACCTTAATCAGGGATACTTAAAGCAACTTACAGTAATGACAGTTTTAAAAATGTTGGTCTGAGTCACAGTATTGTATCTTTTATTGTATGATTTGGGGGCCACAGTGGCCAAGTGATCTTAATAGTTCAACTACTGTATCCATCACTAGCCTGTCAACACTGCATGAGGTTATGACTTTGAAACCCGCACGTGGCAGATGGGGTCTACTCCTATTTTATTTGACAAGGATTGTCAAGTTTTCCTGCTGAAGGTCGGTGGTTCTCTCCAGGCACTCCAGCTTCTGCCACCAATAGTGCTGAAAGTGGCATTAAATGCCAATCATTCAATCAATCAATATTGTATGTTTTGGATTGTTCCTTTATATATGATGATTGCAATTGATAAGGGGGAATAACTGTTGATTTTATACTTGCATAAGGGAGATAACTCAATATTGATTGTTTTTGATTAGTTTCATTAGAATCAAAAATGATACCTCCCCTCTAGCTTGGGTTCACCTTATCCGTCCAACAACTATATTTTTTGTCCAATTTTTTTCATGTCCTACTTAAAATGACTACATATCTGGTCAGTGCTTGATGGTTTGTAACTTGTAACCGATTTTTAGTTTTAAGTTCTGTCAGACTTCTTGTTGAGACCAAATACAGTTCTAGTGAAAAAATTAGGTGAATATTATGATTTTAATTAAAATCACTGATAAATTCACTTCATTTAGGGAGACTTAATTACCAAATTTGTTTTCTTTTTTCCAGCTATCCAGTCACTGGATTGTCTAAATGACCAAATTGTGGAATACATATTCCGACCAAGAAATGGCGAGATCTCTTTTGAAACAGACTTGTCACCGAAACATCAGGACACACTGAAGGTGTCTATGAAGTTGATTAGACAACTTCTTCACGACGCTCAGAGTAAATTCCGTAAGATGGTGGAGGACAATAAGAAATTAGCTGCGAGAATTGACGGTTCAATAAACGCTGCTAACCAGGAAGTAAATTCACTACGAGCAGAATTGCTGGACACAAATAAAAAATTAACAGAAATTAGTGAAATTACTGAAACAACCCCTCAACAGGAGTGTGGGACAAAGTGTGATGACGAACGTAAGTATTTTTATATGAGAAAAAAACAAATAATTGGTTGATTTTTGGTGTTTTAACGCCACTTTTAAGAACGCTTTTGGGCTATTTTGTGGCGGCCAGTTTTTATTGGTGGAGGAAGCCAGAGTGCCCAGAGAAAACCACGACCTTCGATAGGAAAACTGACAATCCTAGTCAATTAAGATTGGAGTCGAGTGCATTCGCACAAGCGGGGTTCGAACTCACAACCTCAGTGTTGACTGGCTAGTGATTACAGTAGTAACTACTTAGACCACTCGGCCACCGAGGCCCCAAAAACAAATAAATAAAATAAAAATATGCAATGGATGTGCAAGATCATAGATGTTTTGAATATTTGATTGATCGATATGCAATAGATGTACATCATTGATTGATAGATGATTATCATACATGAGGCAAAAATATACAGAAATTCTAAAATAGATGAAATAGGAAAGGAGCAGTTTCATTATTCTAAGATAAATAAGCAATTGCTGGAATTTCTTCAATAATGAACTGAATTAAGAGCTCAAATCTTACAGCAAGATCAATACCGTCCCTTATGTGACGCTCTCTGATATCCCTGGGTAACCATCTGGTTGTGTCCTTGGAGGAACTTATATATGCAATTATCACATAGTGTCATGTTCAACTTATTTTTTATGCCCGTTAGACCAAAAAATTAAAGAGTAGATCAGAATAATAATGTGCTAAAATAAAAAGAATAGAGAATAATGGGCAAAAAGTATAAAGGTTGCAATTCTGTAAATATAGACAATGTAATTTCCCATAGGAACTCCCTTTGCGGCTAAAACTGTGCCACTTTTACTATGAAGTTTCGTGAAAAATTACATCATGGAATGGAAAGTTGATATGCACTACTATTTTATTCAAAGGTCAAAATATAGGGCTGTGCGGCATATTTTCAACATATATATACCCTGAACCTAGAGTTTAAACTTATACTAAAATTCTATACTACCCCTACCTCCACTTTTGGACCTCCTAAGAATTAAATTTTAGGCGCTACCATGATTTTTCTACAGAAATGAAGAATCCCCATCCAGACCATCTTCAATGCTTTTCCTTTTCCTAGATAAAATTAGACTACTGTGGATTCAGTTATTTTCTTTATTTCTAATTTTATTAAGTTCAAATTTTTGGGGATGATTAATGAACAATTGAATTTTCGTGGATATTTGATTTTGTGGTTTTGCAAAAATCTGCATATTAGCCTAGAGAAATTGTGGATTTCGTTGAACTTTTCAATTTGTGGTTTACCTATCCCCACGAAATCCACGAAAATTTGCTATCATACGAATAATAATGAATTGACAGTAATACATTTATCTTTCATGATCTCTTAATTGGTTCTAGTTTAAGATACATTGAATTTTACTATTTTTATACCCCTGGCGTAGTCGACGGGACCATAAAGTGTTACCCTTGACCGTCCGTCCTTCCAAATTTCCGTCTTTTGTCCTTCTGTCTGTCCATCCATCCCATTTACGTTGTTTGAAACTTGAGCAGGGGCATTCGTGTCCTCAGACACATTTTTCTTATATTTGTTCTGTTTGGTTTGATTTTTTTAATAGCGAATCAGATTTCTAAAACTTTTTCATACAGTTTGACTGTTTATCAATTTATACATGTTTATGCAATGATAAAAGATTAATGTAGATTTATGGATACTCTAGATAAGGAGAACAAAAACAAGTTTGTTCACTTTATAATTTCATCCTCCAAACCTCATCTAATTTTACATCTTCAAGGTCAAAAGGTCATATCATATTTCAAAGGAATAGATTATGAAATGTACACAGGATAGCTAATAATAATACTTTTATTATCATTCAAAAGGCATCTGTTTGGGTATTTTTGAACTTTTTAATTGAAGATTTAATAACTAAAGCCACATTCCCTTATTATCTTATCAGTGATCTGTGTTAAGAAAAAATTACCACAGTAACCTGTTTCTGGAAAACTAATGAATGCTGTATGGTATTTTTAACTTGATTTAAAAAAAAAATAATTCACACATTTTATGAATGTTTTTATAAAGTACAAAATTGTGCTGCTGTTTTATAATTTATTGCAGTAAGCTGTTAATTTATTCTTGTTGTGAATGAAAGGGGATGTGCATGGGTTATATTTCAATGAGACAACAACATAAATGCCACTTTCAGCACTCTTGGCTATATCTTGGCAGCCAGCTTTTATTGGTGGAGGAAGCCTTAATTGGGTCTTGAGAAAACCACCACTAGTACCTCAGTATGAAAATAGGCAATCCTAGTCAATAAAGATTGAAGCTGAAGGCACTTGCCCTGTGCTGGGTTTAAACTCCCAACTTCAGGACACAGTGACTTGGATCACTTGATCACCCAGGCCCCAGTGACTCTTAGATGACAAATAGTTGTAAAATGGCTGCACATTTTCTTTTGGTTATCCTCAAAAATACGTAGGGATGTTGAGTCATAAATCAATACATCATATCCAAGCATTGTAATACCATTCCCCTCCTCAAAAAGAATGATTGATTTGATTGTTGGTTGCTAAATGTCCAGCGGCAAATATTTCATGCATGTTCAGGACGTCCTCAAGAAGTATATATTAAGGGTGATGTGGGGTATACATAAATATTCTCTATTTTACAGATATAAATCCCAAACAAAGAGTTGATGAAGATAACGAAATGAAGCAATTAAAAGAAGAGAACTGTCGTCTGAAGGCTCAGAATGACATTTTATCTTCACAGGAAAATGGCAAAGATATAAACTGTGATATAAGTAAATATGGTGAACTGAAACTAGAACTGATTCAGACTAAACAAGAGCTTAATAGAGCAAAGGAGGCATTACAGGGTAAGTTGTAACAAGGAACCAATTCTGAAATACTGGTAGCCTGTCTGCAAATAACTCATACACAGGATAACAGGAGATAACAAAAATATTGGACAGTTTAACAGACCATACCAACCACCAACACCAGACGCCTCAGGAAAATACAAATAAAGTTGACAAACAACAATGAACCACACTGAACAACACCCGAGCCAAATAGCCTGACTTGGACAGGCTCATAATTTGATCACAGGTTCAGTTTTTTTGTGCATAAACTGCCACTTTTCTCATATGTAATAGGTCCGAGTACACAGTTATCGTCCTTTGATTTTTCGTTGTCCACAAATATAGTCCCTAGTGTGGATAGTGTGTTACTTGCCAATTTTTTTTATACCCCTTCCAAATTTATTTCTCCATTTTTTTGCCTCAAATAGCAAGTAGGGGGATGAAATCACACTGTAAAAAAATTTGGGTCATTAATTTTAAAGTAAAGTAGTGATTTGGTCCAACTGAAAAAGGTTAAAAATAAGCACTTCGGAAGCTGTCAAAAGATTTCAAGACCCCCTTAACATAAAATTGTCCATATTTTGAGTTAGAGCCGATGAAGTTTTCTATAATTTTGATATAATTTGTCCCAAAAATAGTACAACACACTGTAAAAATATTATTGAGAAAGCGCAGGTGGGATTTTTTTAATTTTCATTTATTGTCTAAAAGAAATGCATTACGAAATAACTGTGTTCTCGGACCAATCGAAGTAAAACACCCATTGAAAATCTGCACAGTCCAGCTACCAATGTGATGACCACTAAATTAAACAAGGAAATAAAAAGACCACACATAAATTGGAAAATAGTGTTGAGATGGGCTTACTACTACAGGAAGCTATACTGTAAACAAACTTATTTTCGCGGATACTTTATTTCGGGTTTAACACATTCTCGTCCACTTCACGGCTATTTAATTTCGCAATTTTCTAATTTCTTTGATGTAGTTTGAAAAGGAAAGATCCAAGTTTTACATATTCATGACAATTTATATTCCCGTTATTTTCTACTCGCCAAAGTCACAAAAGTTAGTTGGTTTACAGTAAGCTAAGATACTCACAGCTGTTGGTTTTTACCGAAGTTTTTGATAACCAAATTCTTCTTGACAAATGGTAGCTTGGAAATCATGGATTCCTTTCTTTAAGTCAGAATTAAAAGTATTGAAGTAAAGATTGTTTCTGTTATAACAATACAGTAGTATATTACTTTATTACAGTCAAAATATGCACCCATCAGTAGTATTGTCAAACTCCTTGTTATAGAATTTAAATGATGTTAAAGATACTATTTATATACATATTTTAAAGGCACAAAGATGTTATTGGGTTAATTTTGTAGTAAGTTAGATCAAGGGGAAATAACTCCAGTTGTACTGTATGAAAAGAGTATTTGGAGAAAAAATTTGAGTTATACATTCTTGTCAGATGGCAATTCTTAAATACACACCATACTCCAATCTTAATTGACTGGGATTGTCAGTTTTCCTTCCAAGGTCAGTGGTTCTCTCTGGGCCCTCCAGCTTCCTCTGCCAATACAAACTGACCACCCAGAAATAGCACAATAGAGCTGAAAGTGGGGTTTTAAACACCAATCGATCAATCAGTCCTAAGTTAAACAAATCATTTTTTCACAGACGCTAGGCAGGTGAAATAACATTTAGATATCTTTATATGAATCTCTAGCTGTGTGAAAAATTCAAAATAAATAAGTAAGCCATTCTTTACAGTTTCATTTACTGCTTTTCCTATTGTTGTAAATATTTGTTGAAATCATAATCAAGTGTACAGAACACTTCAATCATCAGAGTGTTTTAAATCATAGTTTATTTCTATATTACAGCAATGAAATCAGACAGAAAGAGATTAAAGGCAGAAAAGTTAGAGCTGCTGAACCAGATGAAACAGTTGTACACTACACTGGAGGATAAAGAGACAGAGTTACGGGACTTTATCAGAAATTATCAACAAAAAATGGCAGAAAATGATGAAACTATTAAACAGGTAAGACATCTGACCCGAATAATTTAGTCTTTATATTCCAATGCTCTATGATGGCTACATTAGCACCTGAAAGCCTAGTCAATGAAAAATTTCAATTAATTATTGGGAATTATCTCGGGATATACCTAACTTGATAACGTTAAGCCATCAGCTGATTGTCTGTCTCACAGAGAGCGCCAATCAAAATCCTGGATTCATATGTCTCATCACAGAGAGCACCAATCAAAATCCTGGATTCATATGTCTCATACAGAGAGCGCCAATCAAAATCCTGGATTTGTAGCAAGTTTTTATTGTATAAAGAGTCTGTCCCATGCGAGTGGGAGAGTTGATCATGGGGAGGGACTGAATTATTAGGGTTAGTAGACATCTTAGAAAAAGACCAGTAGCACAAGTCACTACATCCATACGAAAACAAATCTGTGGCTGCAGACGGAAGAGAATTGATTGGATTTTTAGTCCCCTATCGACGAAGTCGATGGGGACTTTAGATTTGCACTCTTTCTGTTTGTCTGTCCATCTGTCAATCCGGCAAATTAGTTTTCCTCACTTTATTTCTTCGTACTTGAAGATATTGATTTGAAATTTGGTATATACTTTTATTATGACAAGTTACAGATCAAGTTAGAATTTTGTTCCGGTCTGATGATTTGTGCAGAGTTATGGTCCTTGGACTTAGAAAATTTACTCAAATAATCAGTTTTCCACATTTTTTTTGTCATGCTTGAAGATGTTGATTTAATAATTGGTATATTGTTTTATCATGACAAGTTACAGATCAATTTCGAATTTTGTTCCAGTCTGATGATTTTGTGCAGAGTTATGGTCCTTGGACTTAGAAAATTCACTCAAATAATCAGTTTTCCACACTTTTTTTTTGTCATGCTTGAAGATGTTGACTTGATATTTGTTATTTAGTTTACACCATGCAAAGTTATAGATCAAGTTAGCATTTTGTTCCAATACAATGAATTTTTAACTGGTAGCGGACTATGTATTGTCATGCAATACTCACAGAATGCTTGTTTATCTAAAAATTCTTCGAACAAATTTTGTTTCTTGACATCCTTATATTAAAACACTACCAAAAGCATAACATTTTATTTTAAACAATGCATGATAATAGAAATCTTGATCATCATACAATTAAATTTTGTTGTACATTGTATTTTTCAGTTGGCCCGTGAAAGAGAGGATACTGAACAAGAGAAATGGGAGATAATCAAACAAGCACGGGATGCTCAGGAAAGGGCCGTAATTCTACGCACACAACTCGAATCCAAAGAGCAACACATTAAAAAGTTGGACATGGAACTTTCTGTGGTAAAAAAATCTTTTTCAATAGAAAATGTGTGCTACATTAAAATTATAGAAAAGTAAAGATTGGTCAGTGCATGTACTTGTTTTTACGATACAACTATTTGTTGGGAAACAGGTCTCTGGATTTTTCATATGAAAACATATTTGAAATAACAAAAATTTACAAAAAATTAAAAAGTTTTATCAGGAATGTTTTTTAGATGGATTTTGTTTTTAAAAATTAGAACTATAGGGGTTTCTTAGCCAAAAAATTAAGCATAGCCTAGGAAAAGGCTTAAGGGTCATAAAGTATTTCAGGAAAGAAAAGAAATTTGAAGTGTTGATGTATCTTCAATCATTGAGAAAAATCGAACTCAACAGGGATTAAAAAAACACTGATTCAATTAGTTAACAAACAAACAAAACAAAACACAAACAAATAGGTTTAGGAAAGTAAGAAATAGGTCAAGAGTGCAGGTAGTTCTTCCATTAATTAAAGCTGAAACACTTTTATGTTTTGAAATTCTTGCATATTAAATGAATAACTATTGCAAATTTTTGTGAAAGGGGTGCCAATTTTTTTTCATTTTGTTGTTTCATTATTTAATGTTAATTGCAGCAAAATCTTCAAAAATTTACAAAGTGAATTCAAAAGTTAATAAAGGGAAATAATCAATACTAAAATTATGTCAGATCAGACAGAATTGAAATAAACATTGCAAGTCAATACTACCTTTGAAAATTTTGATAGAATTATGAATTATTTTCTGTAGATGAAAGAACAAGCAGTGAAAACTGGGTATACATTACATGTGCCATCCACGCCACCTACCATACGCTGTACCACACCTAACAGTGAAGATCTGCCACCGTACGAAACACCACCGTTGTCAGCTAACCTTACCCATAATGACTCAAGTTTTGATGGTATTATTTATATTATCTTTTTTGTTGATCTTTGTATAAAGATGTACTAGATAGGCTAAAGATACCAAAGGGACATTCAAACTCATAAGTCGAAAACAAACTCACATGGCATGGCTAAAAATGAAAAACAATGAAAAGACAAACAGTATACAAAAAACAGCATAAAATTTGGTATTTGCTGATTCTCCACTAGGAACATGATATTTTTGAGAAAGAGCAAACCTAGTTAGAGTCAATAATACATTTGTTATATAATAAAGTGATATGTTTTCCTGTGGACTGTGAGCTAGAATGTTAAAAGTTAAACACAATGTGCAAGTATTGTACAAAGCTGGGTATATAAATGTGTTTTCATCCTCCATTTCTAATGGACATAAGCACCCGTCAACCATCAATATAAAAGAAACAAATATCTGTGTCAACTAGAAAATATCAAGAAAAGAAGGTTTTTTTTTTTTCTTTAATTATATTATTGTGACATAAATGCCCTTTTATAGGAGAATAAGGAGATGTGACAGGGCTTTCAAAAAAAAATTGAGCCAGCCGGACATTTTATTTCTTATCGATAATCTCGATTTTAATCTCTTAAGACTTAGTTCCAAAAGGCATTTATGGTAATCAGTTGTCCATCATGACATTAAAACGATATTAAACTTTACTTTGGTATAAATTTCGATGTTCTGACGTACATTGTTAAATTGACAGTGCATCATTCGAAGTTTGCAACAGCAGCATACTAATATCTGACTTAGACCCTTTATTTGTGCAAAATAACGTTGTCAAAAACTTTACTTTTGTTTTTAAAAAGCACATTTTCCTAATACCGGATGTTGACCTGACAATGGTTAAACACAGACCAGAGACGAATACGTAAAATCTGCTGTACGCTTACAAAGCATGATTGAGTTTAAGTAGCTATTTCCACGCTATTTCTTCAAGAAAATACTTGAAATGAACGTTAGATAAAGGTATCAATGATAATTTTCGCATTTTTGAAGAATTAGGATGCATATTTTAATTTCCCACCTGTGCACATGCGCACACGTGTACTAGTTCATACAACGTGGTTCTGACGATTTTTCGTTTAAAACATTTTAAATTTTTCATCAAACCATATTTATAAACATATTTCTGATAATTTCAATCTTTTTGACTAAACTAATTAGATGCAAACCGCTGAAATGTAAGGAAATAGACCCATCAATGTCCGGTTCAGATAGTTTACCTGTCGCCTGAACGTAAATTTCAGCTGTTCAACAACTAAATAACCATGATTAAAATAAGAAGGTATTAAAGTAGGGTTTGTTTTGATAGTACTTATTCATCATGTCACTTTTATGACCGGAAATGTGTGGCTGTTTAAGGCAAAAGGTCGGGTCAAAAAGATTGAATAAACTTCCAATGTAAAAAAAAATGTTCAAATGACCATCTCTAAATAAAGCTTTGAAAACTAAAAGTAGATGACCGTTTTATGCTTTTGCCAGCCGGACAATGTCCGTTAAATTTGTAAATGTCCGGAATATATGACCATTTTGGAAGCCATGAGATGTAGTATGATTGCAAATTAGACAACTATCCTCCAAAGTTCAAAAAGGGGATATAAGCAATTATAGGTCACCATACTTTTTCAACAATGAGAAATATAGACACTTATAAAAGGTGACTGATCTACCATTCAGCTGATAGGCATCAAAGAATCCGAGGAATCTAAATAATGTTTTTATTTGCTCTTTAATAAGCTAGAGTACTGTAAATTCAGAAATTATTGCGTGCATTTATTATTGCGATTTTGTCATTTTAGACTAAAATGCGATTCTAATTTTTGCGATATTGAGAACAATCCTGTTCAATTCATCTAAGATATTTCAAAATGCGAGTTTAAATTATTGCGATTATAACCCTGTCGCATTTTTCGCAATAATAAAAATGTCGCAATAATTTCTGAATTTACAGTATTATGTTTTGTAACCTTTTGGAATTTCTGCACTAGTGTCTTCTTTGTAAAATAATTATTTCCATTTTTTGCTCAATTTGGTACTCAAAAAGAAGCAGTGGATATTCATATCACGTCTAAAATATTAATATTTTCTGTTTTAGCACAATTCGGTACTCCAAAAGAATCCAGAGATCGTAGTAATTCCCTGACGCCATTGATTGACAGCCAAAATAAAAGTAGTATATCATTACCGATCAGTGAAACTTCGTCTGAAACCAAGAAGAAAAAGCGAATCAGTTTGGGGTCCATATCCAAAGTGTTCACAAGAGGCAGGGTCAGGAGGTCAATAGCAATACCTGTGGGAACTGAGTTAGAAGGTAAAAGACAATAAAAATGTTTTAGATAACAAGTTGTGTAATGTTCATCTTTCATTCGTTTTTGAGCTCACGTATTTAATAATCTGTTTGATTACTTATTTAAGACAATGAAATTATGCCATCAAAATGTATAACAAATTAACCTCCAAAGTACATGATAATTTAAATGTATATTATGACTTAATTCTATTTGATAATTCTTCACATCATGTTTTCTGATGACATTCACAGAAGTCAGATATAGCCAATCAAATTTGATTGTTGGTCTCAAAAATAGATATATGTTTTAGTTACCAAATGTCAAACGTTTGGTTATGTGTAGATACACGATAGGAGGGACTAAATTGCACGAGAAAGTGCAATTTAGACCCTCCTATCATGTATCACACATAACCAATCGTGTGCCATTTGGTAAATCACATGTGCCAAACGTTCATTCGACGTCATCGCTAGCCGTCACGTTGTTTTCACGCGGTAGAATTTCAGTTTGCGGTTTGATGTGTAAGGAGCAAAATGGATAATGCCAAAGTGAATTCACTAGAAACGGATTTTTTATATGCCCACTGGGATCAAAGTGTTGACGACATTACTTTATCCCAAATATGTACTGATATGGAAAATGAACACACTATTTTGGAAAAAATGGACGATTTAACCCTTTCACAGGCGTTAGATAAGTACGAAGTTGACATGGATGTGAACCACGAGGTAGATATTTCTCAATTAGATTTTCAGTTAACACAGGTTCCAATAACAGCCGACAATGTAATTGAACAGTTGGAGAAAATCATCATGCCGGAAACTAATGTCGCAGTAAAAGCAGAGGGTCATGTTAATAATGGACGGTATGGTAACTTCGTTAACGATATGGACATTGACATTTTAGTTAAATCCACCGAGAGTAAAAACACCAGAAAGAATACAAATTGGAGTATATCTACGTTCAATGATTGCAGAAGTGCGCGCATAGCAAGCACGAGTTGTGCCATTCCGGAGCTCACAAGATTTACAGTTGGTGACATTAATCAATGGATGAGCCGTTTTGTGATTGAAACGAGGCGGCAAGACGGAAAACCGTACCCACCGAAAACATTGTACATGTTGTGTGTAGGAATATTGCGGCACCTACGTGAAAATGAAATTCATATCAATTTCTTGGACGAAAAGGACTCGCAATTTTATGAGTTTAGGCGTTCTTTTAGTGCTAGAATGACACAGCTAACGGCAGAGGGAATAGGGACAACTCCAAAACAAGCAGAACCTATTAACCAGGAGAGTGAAGATATTCTTTGGGAGAAGAATTTACTAGGAAACAAAAGTTCGAAATCTGTGCTTAACACCATGTTTTTTTACAACAGCAAACTGTTTGGTTTAAGGGGTGTAGACGAACACAGGAACTTGTCAACAGATCAGTATAAAATTGGAAAAGATCAAAATGGACATTACATTGCCTTTTCTGGAAGAGCTAGCAAAACCTACAAAGGTATGTATTATTAAAAATTAAAAGTTAACAATTAGGTTGTACTTTAATAAGAAGGTCAAGGTGGAATTGTTAATTTTCGGAAAATCAAAGTGTCTTCTTCGAGGTCCGCGTTGATATTGTTATTCAATGTTTAATCTTTATGTTTATCTAATGACGTAAATTCATACATTGTCAAAATTCAAATATTTGGCTTTCACTCTTGAGCATTCCTGAAGAAGGAAAATCCAGAAAAGCGATTTGGACGCATGAAATTTATAAAGTGTTTCATTTTTTGGTAGCAATCATGAATGATTTGGGATTCGAAACCTATAAAATATCTTATTGTATTATCTATCGTATTATAAGTCATGGCATGCATGAGGGTGTTGAAGGGAGTTTGCAGAAAAGAGAATATAAACGGGAAAAACGTATAAAGACTAGAGAATAATGAGGTGCTAAAATATAAAAAATAGAGAAAAAATGGCATGAAAATTGAAGAATACTGAAATGAAGGACCCCATCAAGATACTTATGCAAGTTTTCCCGAATGATTATGTATACAAACTTCACTAATAATTTTGATATCATGATTAAAATATTTATAAAGTTTTTTTAAGAAGTTAAGACACATGAACTAGATATATAATACACACATAAACATTTAATTACGTTTCTAGTAATTTTGTATTAAATATCTTTTATCCTCGGTGTTTCAGGGGGACTTCATCAGAGACACCTGACTACAAAAAACATAAAGCACCATTTCCAAAATCTTAATTTATTTAAGATTTATGAAGATTACCTAAGTATTATTTCTGAAATGAACGGGAACTCGTTTTACAGACGACCTTTAGAGAAAGGTTGTGAAATCAAATTCAGTTCACAGCCATTAGGTGTAAATAAATTGTCATCAATAATGAAAAGCATGTGTTTTGAGGCAGGAATCGAAGGTTACTTTACAAACCATTCCGGAAAAAGGACGTGTGCAACATCTCTCTATCAAGCTGGCGTTCCGGAGCAAGAGATAATGAATAGAACCGGACACAGATCTGTTGAAAGCGTTCGAAAATATAAACGAGCTTCAACGGAAATGCTAATGGATATTTCAAACATTCTTGAGCCAGGAGGCCCGCCAAAGAAATGTAAATTGGAATCACAAGACAAAGAAGAAAGCATGGACATGGGCAAATCTGGTCTAGATAGTATTAATTCTGGTAATGCTAATGGCAAATGTGTGTTTTCGCAGTGCGTGTTCAATTTTACGGGACGAAATTAGATGTTTTCACAAAATCATATTTTAAGTGATATATATTCATTACGGAGTTAATGTGATATATTTGATTTTCCTTAGTTCTGATTGATGTAGATACGAGATACAATGAAGTGTTTTGGGAAATACTACACTGTAGTTGATATGTGGGAATATAAATTTTGAGTTATTAAAAGTTATTAATTAAAATAAAATTTTATGTTTTACTGATGCAGTATGGTTTGAAATCAAATATGTATAAAGATAAGATGATGTGGTATAAATGCCTATGAGACAACTATCTGCCCGAGACTAACGAAGTTGGTGTAATTGTCGAAACTTTCGTACTCATTTTTGATTGATTAGCCAATCAGTAGCAACATCCAAAACTGTGATGGTTATCTGTTGTGGGATTGGCTTACCAGTCAAAAGTCCTTTAATACGCCCATAGTGTATGTGTTGATACCTCACACTTTTTACAACAGAAAGTCGTATGAACTATGGTACATATATATATAGAAAATACTTCTGAAACCTATTCAAGAAGGACAACTCTTACACCTAAGAGAGACAACTCACATTTGGTGAAGCTAGGGCATTTATTTACCCCCTGAAATCCCCCCACTCATCCACCACCACTTAAAAAATAAAACAGATGTAAAACAACAAATTTATAATTACTTTTAATATCTTATAACTATCAGCATACTTTACTTTACTTTACTGCACTTGCATCAGAAGATTTTAGTTTAACAACACATAAACCTGTTGATTTTTTAATAAATTCTGTACTCCTTGTTTCACCACCTACTAGTAAGAGGCCATTATTGCCTGCATCAATACAAAGTGCTAGAGAAAAGTATTTTTCAGTCTCTTTAAATTTTTCAAAGATGTCTGATGTAAGTTTGGGTAAATTGCATGTGGTCTCATCTCTTTCTTTCTCAGATAAATAATCTTTAAATATACTAAGATATTCATTAGTCAAATAAGTACCATCCATGGTGTAAATACATAGTTTATGGTGCTTTGTATTTATGACAATGACATGACCAGTTGAAGTTGTTGCTATATCTCCAGGGCAAAAGTCTTCTATGATAACATTTGCATTGGAAATTAAATTGAAATGGCCATCTTTTTTTATGATTACCACTCTCCCAGCGCTATCTTGTTGACAATCAGCCACCAAAATGTCCCCATTGATATTTGATGTTATTTTGTGTGGAAATGTAAATATTCTCTTGTCTTCTGTATCTAATTCAAGTGAGTTGATTTTCTCTCCCAATTTCGATAAGACCACGACTTTACATTCTTTATCCTTAATAAGACCTACTATTATTTCATTGTCCTTATTAATATGGATGCTTATTGGAAAGTAAGGGGACATGTTGAGAAAGGATTTAAATTTTTTCTTCTTTTTGAATATCTTAATATCAGTATTGTCCTTCACAAGAACGTAAAGAGTACCTTCTTGGTCCAATGAGATGTCATGGACTTCAACGTTTATTTCTTTTATGGTCTGAATACCATTTTCAGCCAGGTATATTTTTCGTAGTATGTTTTGATCGTTGTATATCCATGCCATTGTATGGTCGTTCTTACAAATAGATAAGCCAGCAAGTTTTCCTGGTATATCAAGCACATACTTCCCTATGATTTCAAAATCTGTGCTGACATGCTGTTCCATAATTTCAAATTGTGAAATAAAGTCCTTTTCTACTACATGTATTGATTTATAATCTGAGTTGGAGACAAAATATAAACGCTTTCCAACATTTGTGTTATAAATTGGAATATTTTCTTTTTTCATTTCTTTTACAATGCTAAATACTTCCTCAGGTTGAAACGATTTCAGTGTCTGGTCAATTTTTTCAGTCCTATGCAATAATATTTGTTTACCTTCCTGCAACAAAGACTTCTCTTTTGAAATATTTTCATCTGCTCTTTTTTTCAAAACTTGTAGAGTACTCGTTAAATTGCTCCATTTTTGTTTTAGAAGCTGTTGCCAACCTACATATTTCAAATTTATTCTTAGTGTCTCAACCTTATAATATTCATTTAAGCATGAAAGGAATTTCTGTAATGTTTCTGCATCTCTTACCATAATCTCAAATTGTTTTTCCGTTTTTTCTTGAATACTTTTTATTTCTGTCAATTTTTCATCAAAGGCTTCTTCGATCTCCTGGAATTTGTGATTTGAATGTGACTCCGGTAAACAAGCCGCGCATATCATTTCATCACATTCACAGCAATAGAAAATGCTCTTCTGTTTTGCATGCTTCTTACATGGTTTGTTCTTTAGCTCCGCCCTCTTAAATATCTCAGAATCGTCCTCTCTGCAAGTCTTAATGTTTAAAACGTGATGACTGTCAGAAATTTTTAACTTGGAATGAATCTTAATTTTGCAGCTATTGCAGAATAATATTTCGCACTCATAACATTTCCATTCAATATTTGTATCTGTTTCACAAAGTTGACAAGCAGACGGAGATTGCGCCATTATTGTGTTTGGTCTGCTGAGGTGTAACGCCAAATTCTATACATCAAGGTTATGATACACAGCCTAAAGAGATTATTTTTATAATGCCAAATCAATGAGCAAAGAATGACTTAGTTTTTAATATATATACTATATACTTATATCAGCTCATAGTCACATGAAGGACAGGTTCAAAGTGTTTATTTGCATTTTAAGATTTAATCAGATTAATTAGTAAATTTCACTTTCTAAAAACTGATAATTGGCCATTGTTAAGAGTAAACAAATATGTTGTTTTACATTAGGTATGCAATTGATAATTTTAAAATTGTTATCAGTGCAACAATTTTGCTTTTTCAGAAAACAATAGTTAGAAAATGTACGTTTCAAGAAAAATCAGTGTATTTCCTATTTTTTTTCTAAAAACAGTAAAGCTGGTGCTTTAAACCTTCATTCTGTTCTTGATATTTGTACTTAAGATCTTTGAATTGATAAATAAATGCAGAAAATGAGCTAGAAAATATAAAGAATAGGAAAAAGGCTTAAAATTATAAAATACAGAATTAAGGACCCCCATCCAGACCTTCATCATATATTCATAATGATTTACTTGTATGTTTTTCATTATATAAAGAATTTCATTGATCTGGTTTTACTGTTTTCATGATCAAGCAATGTGAAAAAAACATATTTTGCTTTAGCATAAAGAAATTAAAAGAATCTAGAGGCTCACATACCCTATGCCTCTCATTTTATATATGTAAGCATATAAGAAGATGTGGTATGAGTGCCAATGAGACAACTCTCCATCCAAGTCAAAATTTATAAAAGTAAACCATTATAGGTCACAGTACGGTCTTCAACACGGAGCCTTGGCTCACACCGAACAGTAAGCTATAAAGGGCCCCAAAAACTACTAGTGTAAAACCATTCAAACGGGAAAACCAACGGTCTAATCTGTTTAAAAAAAATACATGTATAAAGTATTTGATTTGGCATCCTGAAACCAAAATGACCTTTCAGACGAATGAAGAACGTTTTTGGTAAGTAAGCTCACCATATCCAAATGGCCCAACATTAACTTTAAAAAATTATTATTTTATTGTTTACATTTCAGATTCTCCCTCGCCTTCAAGAATAACCTTGTTAAATCCAGAAAATTATCAAGATAAGCTAAAGTTAGTGGAGCAGTCACGTGGTTGTCACATGTCTACATGGAAAGCCAATCAGGTGTTAGCTTGGTTAGAGATTGTCATTAACATGCCCATGTATGGAAAGACATGTGCAGAAAATGTTAAAAGTGGCAAGGTAATTGTTAACATGCATAAAAAGTGATGACAGCAAAGTCTTTATTAAATAACTTTGAAGCTAGATTAATTCACCATTTTGGGGGTCACTCAAGGGAAATACTTTAATAAAACATACAGGACTGAGATGTCAAGGTTATGTAAGGAGCAGTAATTTTGCCGATGTCACAATTTTTGTCAGAGCTTGAAACTAGGGTGTGTGATGACTTTTAAACTGATTATCTGAAGAAAAAAAAATATTTAAAAAATGAAAAATGATCTAGAAATTGTTTTCGACATCTTTCAATCAGTTTAATTGAGGTCTGGAGCTGGCATGTCAGTAACTGCTAGTAGTCCTTTGTTCATTTATGTATCATTGTCATTTTGCTTGGTTTCTTTTGTGACCTATTCTGACATCGGACTCGGACTTCTTTTGAACTGAGTTTTATTGTGCATATTACAATGTGTTTGTTTATTCTACATTGGCTAGAGGTATAGGGGAGGGTTGAGATCTCACAAAACATGTTTAACCCCGCCGCATTTTTTTAGTCTGTCCCAAGTCAGGAGCCTATGGCCTTTGTTAGTCTTGTATGTTTTGGAGTTTAGTGTGACGTCCATTTTCACTGAACTAGTACACAATTTTATTTCGGGGCCAGCTGAGGACCACCTCCGGGTGAATGATTTTCTCGCTGTGGTGAAGACCCATTGGTGGCCTTCGGCTGTTGTCTGCTCTTTGGTCGGGTTATTGTCTCTTTGACATATTCCCCATTTCCATTCTCAATTTTATTCTAAAAAAATTTTGAATATTGATTTAGGGCTATTCCATTAAAATGTATGTGGGAGGGTAGGAAGGGAAGTTTAATTATTGAATGTGGGTCATGGGTCTTTTACTGTATGCGTCTATTACCATTATGCAAAATTATCTAAAAAATGGTTCTTGGTTGTAGGGATATTTTGAAAGTCCCTTCCTACCCTCCCACATACATTTTAATGGAATAGCCCTTAATGATTTAGAACATGTAAAGATAAACATGATTTGAGTTATTATAAGATATCGATATGCAGGTAAAGGGAGGTCATAAAAAGAAATAAAAAACCCAAAATGATCAATCTTAGTTTTTTTAAAGTAATAATACATATGTACTGCCCTCTGATATAGAATTATGACCAAATTATAATACATGTAAAATTGACAAAAATAAATTGTGCTTATATTTATATAATGTCTTTTCTTGTAATTTTGCTTAGGTGTTACTTGGTTTAAGTGATTCAGAGCTTGGTTCAGCCTTATGTATAACCAATCCTATGCATCGGAAGAAGATTCGATTGGCTATCGAGGAACAGAGAAATCCAGGAGATGCGTAAGTTTATATTATTTTTCTATAATATTTTGCCAATAAAATGGTTAAAAGGGGGATAGAAATTTTATATCTGATATTAAAAATTGAGATAATGGTAAAGTCTTATAATTAATTAATTCCATAAAATTCCATGAATGTTAGGAAATAAAATGATATATTTAAGAAGTTGTGATTTTATTGCTATTCTTCATCTTTTCATTTGCTGGAAGATCTAAAAAGTTGAATTAAAAAACACACATCTAACGCCAAGGTCAAGATGATCCCACAGCATCACTCAAGTGGTACTCTTTTTATATTTATGAAAACCAATACATAGTTAAATCATGTCTCAAATCAAAGATTTTGATTGGGCTCTCTGGATGATAGAGCAAACCTTGTAGCTTAGTATCTTAAAGATATGTAAATCCTGAGCTAATTCTGAATAATTAATTGACGATTTGTCATTGACTGGGACTTCAGGTGTTAATGTAGCCATCATATAAAAAAGAAGATGTGGTATGATTGCCAATGAGACAACTCCCCACAAGAGACCAAATGACACAAAAATTAACAACTATAGGTCACCGTAGAATACAAATATAAGGATAAAATTATTTGGGTTATTTATTGGGCAAGACAAATTAATTAAGATGTGGTTCATTTTATCTTCACTGGTTGTCGTTGGTTCATGTCTGTCATATTTAGTGTTTCCCCTATCACACAAAAAGGGCATGGCAACTTAATTGAAAAAGGGCATCTAGAGCGCGCAAAAATTTATAAAAAGGGCACCTACAGTGTATGGAAAATTAACAAAAGGGCACCTACAGTATGCTGAAAACAAGAAAGGCAATAAATTATCATATTGCATTGGTAAAGTATGGACTGGCAGGTGTTGATAGAATCAGAACTCAAGATAGCAAGTGTATTGTTCCAAAATAATATTGTATATGCATCTTTAAATAAAGATGAAAATCAACATTATTTCGGGTAACAGCAAGGGACCAAGGATGTATGTATATTACTAGCTATACATCTTTGGCAGACTTTGAAGGACTAAGGCATAAATTTACTAGGCAGTAATTACATGATTTGACTGATGTGGCACTTAAATATGAAGATTAGGATATAAGATCTGAAAATCTAGTTCAAAATTTCACTTCAATTAGTTTCAGGGGACAGTTCTGATCAACAAAGTTGGGCCCCTATTTTGTAAACCAGGATTCACAGTATAAATGAACTTGTAGAACTTTGTAAGACTATTACACTGCATAATCATTATCCTTATAAAGCGTTTAGATCGATATTTAGAATTCATTTCTATAAAGTTGAAACCAAGGATTTGTACATATTCTTATTGGAACGATTCTAAAAACTGTATATTGTAAATTAATCGAGAATTGATCACGTTTACTTTCCATTTACAAACGAAATGTAAACGGGAAGTGACAAGTAGATAATAAATTCAGAATGAATCCGGATTCATCTTCGGATTGGTTCGTTTTTAAAAAAAGGCAGTAAATTATCATTTTTTGAATTTGATTTGCTTAGTAAGAACTATATTTGTCTCTCTCATTTATTTTAAGCTACATTTATTTCGTATTTTACGTTTTAGTATCTATAAATTCATAGGAATACTTTCACGCATGCGCAGTATATCGTAAACAGTAAAGGAAGCACCTGTTTGACTCGTGAAAACTTTTCTGAACGTTTTGAATATAGTTCTATCTTTTTAATCGTAATTGAACGTTTTATACCAAAGATCACGAAAATACGATTATTTGACAAAACTATGACAAACGAACTGCAAATTGTGATCGTTTTAGAAATATTGAAATTAAAAAGCAAACTGTCTGGGGGAAAACAAACGACGAAACTACGACAAACCAAGGATTTGTATTACTATACAAATCCTTGGACAAACGAACTGCAAATTGTGGTCGTTGGCCTTGAGAAATATTGAAATTAAAATGCCGACTGACTGATTTTACTGGGGAAAATTATTATGGTGGTCAATTATGAGGTTTATTAATAATTAACGGACCACTGGACGTTAAGCAACCAACAATCAATCAATAATTAATGGATTAGTGACCCATCCGATGGCGATAAGCGGATTAACTGTAATCACAAATTTATAACACTTGTTGTAAATTTTAATTAGCTGAGGGTCATAAACTTGTCAGAAACATGAAGACAGGAAGAAAGGACATTTTTGAGACAATGGCGTCATCCAAAGAAGTGAAAAAAGGCATGGCGTCATTTATTAAGACAAACAAAGGGCATGGCGTCATTTAAAAAGGGCATAGCGTCTATCCATGCTAAACATGCTTGGGGGAAACACTACATATTTGTTTTTTCTTAAACTAATTTGTCATAATTTAGGCCGTTAGTTTTCTCAATAAATGAGGTATATTCTTATTTTTTATACGACCGCAAAAAAATTTGCGGTCGTATATTGGTATGACGTTGGCGGCGTCGTTGTTGTCGTCGTCCGAAGACACATTGGTTTTCCCACTCTAACTTTAGTTTTAAGTGAATGGATCTCTATGAAATTTTACCATAAGGTTCAATACCACGAAACTTGTGTGTTAGTGTATGGATCTCTCTGACATTGTACCAATTGTACCACAAGGTTCCATATCACAAAGGGAATGCTGGGATTGATTTTGGGGGTAATTGCCTCAAAAGTTTAGGAATTAGGGGCAAAAAACACGCATTTTTCTAGTTTCATGACAATAACTTATGTGTAAGTGTATGGATCTTTCTGAAATTGTGCTACAAGGTTCCATATCTTAAAGGGAAAGCTGGAATTTAGTTTGGGGGTAATTGCCCAAAACATTTAGGAATAAGGGGCCAAAAATAAGCATTTTTCTAGTTTCCAGACAATAACTTGTGTTCAAGTGTATGGATCTCTCTGAAATTGTACTGCAATGTACCATACCACAAAGGGAAGACTGGGATTGATTTTGGGGGTAATTGCCTCAAAATTTTAGGAATTAGGGGCCAAAAAGGGGCAAAAAACAAGCATGTTTCTAGTTTCAGGACAATAACTCGTGTGTAAGTGTATGGATCTTTATGAAATTGTACCACAAGGTTCCATATCACAAAGGGAAAGCTGGGTTTGAGTTTGGGGGTAATTGCCCTAAACGTTTAGGAATTTGGGGCCAACAAGGGGCCAAAAAACAAGCATTTTTCTAGTTTCCAGACAATAACTTGTGTTCAAGTGTATGGATCTGTCTGAAATTGCACTGCAAGGTACCATACCGCAAAGGGAAGGCTGGGATTGAGTTTGGGGGTGTTGAATCATAAGGGGGTTCAAAACATTTGGGGGGAATTTTTTTTCATTTTTTTTCTTTAAAATTTTCTATTTTAAATTGGTTATTTCTGATTTATATATAAAAGCAAATAATAATGATATGGTTTGAATAGGTAAATTAAATTTTTTTAAGTACTTAGATCACATTCATTCTGTGTCAGAAACCTATGCTGTGTCAAATATTTAATCACAATCCAAATTCAGTGCTGTATCAAGCTTGAATGTTGTGTCCATACTTGCCCCAACTGTTCAGGGTTCGACCTCTGCGGTCATATCAAGCTGCGCCCAGCGGAGCATTTTATTTTTTTAATGGGATGTAGTATTTATGAAATTTCTATTTCAGAAAATATCCCAAAAGTTGTAGATTAGATCACACGTGGATTGCACATCGATGGATACCAGATCTAGGACTGTCTCAGTATAAATGTGAATTTGAAAATAATCTTGTCGATGGACGAATATTGAACATTTTATCTAAAAAAGAAATGGAAAAACATTTAAATATACATCGGAAGTTTCACCAAGCTAGTGTATTACATGCCGTTGAGTTGCTACGCAGGTTAAATTTTGATAAAGAGGTAAGATGGAAAAGAATTGAATTCAAAGTACATGGTTTTGTTAAGTTTGCATAAAAAGTATAATACTGTAAATTCAGAAATTATTGCGTGCATTAATTATTGCGATTTTAATTTTTGCAATATTGAAAAAAGGTCCTGTTTAATTCATATACAAAATTTTAAAATGCAAGTTTAAAATTTTGCGATTATAACCCTGTCATATTATTCGCATAAATAAAAACATCGCATTAATTTCTGAATTTACAGTATTTAACATTTTGATTACTGTTGGTCTTTTATAGGTTACAATATACCTTTAACCTTGTTTATGGTCTTGCAGAAGCCAGAATATATTAATTAAAGAATTATTGTGAAAGATGAGGTGAATTTAGCATCAAATACATATTGTCTCTTTCCTTATCAATAGCAGCATAACAGTAATATTTTAGATTATTCTGCTCTTGAACTTCTATTTATTGCTTTTTTTCAGCTACCTGCCTTTAGAGAATGCTTATATATCCCAAAAATGTGATAATATAAAAATAAGGAGGAGGTATGATTGCCAATGAGACAACTATCCACCAAAGTTTTAATAAAGTGGATGTAAGCAATTATAGGCAACCGTACGGCCCTCAACAATGAGAAAAACCCATACCGTATAGTTGGCTATAAAAGGCCCCAACATTAAAAATATGAAACAATTCAATTGAGAAAACTAACGGCCTAAATTATAAAAAAACAATTCACAGAAAACAAATATGACAGACATGAACCAACAACAACTAATGAACTACAGGCTCCTGACTTGGGACAGGCACATACAGAATGTGGCAGGGTTAAACATGTTTGTGAGTGCTCAACCCTCCCCTAACCTGGGACAGTGGTGTAACAGCACAACATAAGAACAAACTATAAAAATCAGTTGACAAGGCTTAACTCATCAGATCGATACAAAGCAGAAAAACATTAAAAATAAACACAGATTGGACGTGGCAGAGTATTTATCCATCCCTCATCCCTAACAACAAAAAGGACACTAAGTACAAATAATGTTGGTGTCATATTAAGAAGAACTAGCATTTTCAAGAAACGCATTATTTTATTCTCCATACTGAAAATTCAGAAACTAGTGCATGCAACTATTGTGAATCCTTAACAATTGACAAAAACGTGAAATCTCAATAATGCGATTGCAAAAACTTTATGAAGAAAAGTCACTACTGAAATTATAAATGCAAGTTTTTGTTGAGCCTGCGACTTTTGTTGCAGAAAGCTTGACATAGGGATAGTGATCCGGCGGCGGCGGCGTTAGCTAGCTTCTTAAAAGCTTTATATTTTAGAAGGTGGAAGACCTCGATGCTTCATACTTTGTATATGGATGCTTCATATTACGAAGTTTCCGTCAGTCACATGTCCAATGTCCTTGACCTCATTTTCATGGTTCAGTGACTACTTGAAAAAAAAGTTAAGATTTTTTGTAATATTAAATTCTCTCTTATTATAAGTAATAGGATAACTATATTTGGTATGTGCGTACCTTGCAAGGTCCTCATGCCTGTCAGACAGTTTTCACTTGAACTCGACCTCATTTCATGGATCAGTGAACAAGGTTAAGTTTTGGTGGTCAAGTCCATATCTCAGATACTATAAGCAATAGGTCTAGTATATTCGGTGTATGGAAGGACTGTAAGGTGTACATGTCTAGCTGGCAGGTGTCATCTGACCTTGACCTCATTTTCATGGTTCAGTGGTTATAGTTAAGTTTTTGTGTTTTGGTCTGTTTTTCTTATACTGTATGCAATAGGTCAACTATATTTGGTGTATGGAATGATTGTAAGGTGTACATGTCTAGCTGGCAGGTGTCATCTGACCTTGACCTCATTTTCATGGTTTAGTGGTTATAGTTAAGTTTTTGTGTTTTGGTCTGTTTTTCTTATACTGTATGCAATAGGTCTACTATATTTGGTGTATGGAATGATTGTAAGGTGTACATGTCTAGCTGGCAGGTGTCATCTGACCTTGACCTCATTTTCATGGTTCAGTGGTTATAGTTAAGTTTTTGTGTTTTGGTCCGTTTTTCTTATACTTTATGCAATAGGTCTACTTTATTTGGTGTATGGAATGATTGTAAGGTGTACATGTCCAACTGGTGGGTGTCATCTGACTTTGACCTCATTTTCATGGTTCAGTGGTCAAAGTTAAGTTTTTGAGTTTTTGTCTTTTTTCTTATACTATATGCAATAAGTCTACTATATTTGGTGTATGGAAATATTCTATGATGTACATGTCAGTCTCGCAGGTTTTATTTGACCTTGACCTCATTTTCACGGTTCATTGCTCAGTGTTAAGTTTATGTGTTTCAATCTGTTTTTCTTAAACTATAAGCAATAGGTCAGCTATATTTGGTGTATGGAAGGATTGTAAGCTGTTCATGTCTGCCTGGCATGGTTCATCTGACCTTGACCTCATTTTCACGATTCATTGGTCAATGTTTAGTTTTCTTGGTTAAGTCTGTTTCTTAGAAACTATAAGCAATAGGTCAACTATATTTAGTGTATTGAATGATTGTAAGGTGTACATGTATTTCTTGTTTGGTTTATATGACCTTGACTTCATTTTCTTGGATCATGTTATGTTTATGTAATAGTTGTAGTAAAGCTTTCATTTAGGACTATCAACATAATATCAATGGTTAGTAAAGAAGGCGAGACATTTCAGTGTGTGCACTCTTGTTATTACTGTGAATCTGATGATGTCGCATTTTTCGCATTAATAAAAACATCCCAATAATTTCTGAATTTACAGTATTCTAAAATCACATTTATAGTTAATGTTGTTTCTTTGTTCATTGATCGAAGTCATGTTCAGAATCATTCACCAACATCCTGGTCTTTTTAGTGGTCACATGGTCAGTTATGGTACAAATTTGTTAAATCTTATTCTATTTCAGGTGCTAATTGAGCGAAGATCAAAAAGTGAAGATGGTGACACTGATCCTTTGGTCTGGACAAATGAACGAGTCATAAAATGGGTACAATCAATAGATCTTGAGGTATGACCTACATGACCTACATGTAAATTATGTAAAATTGGGTATTCTTCCCAAAAGACAAAGGTTTATAGTATTTGAATTCATGATTTCAAATTTTGATTTACACAAAAAGTCAGCGGAGATATGACTTTTACTTTTAGATGAACTGACAAAATAACTTATGTCCTATGTGGTTTTACAGATTTATATTCAGGCTGTTAAATCAACCAGAGTGCAGTGCTAGATTCAGGTTGGGGCATAGAGCGCTGAACTGGGCATTATTTTTACCATTACAAATAATTACACCCACCTTTCCTCGAACCAGTTTAATCAAATTATTAGTCCCCTACCGACAAAGTCGAAGGGGACTTTAGGTTTGCACTCCGTCCGTCTGTCTGTCCTATCAGTCCGGCAAATCAGTTTTCCACACTTTTTTTCTTCATGCTTGAAGATATCGATTTGATATTTGGTATATTGTTTTATCATGACAAGTTACAGATCAAGTTCGAATTTTGTTCCGGTCTGATAATTTTGTGCAGAGTTATGGTCCTTGGACTTGGATAATTCACTCAAATATTCAGTTTTCCGCACTTTTTTTCATCATTCTTGAAGATATTGATTTAATAATTGGTACATTATTTTATCATGACAAGTTACAGATCAATTTCAAATTTTGTTTCAGTCTGATGTTTTTGTGAAGAGTTATGGTCCTTGAACTTAGAAAATTCACTCAAATAATCAGTTTTCCGCACTTTTTTTCGTCATGCTTGAAGATATTGATTTGATAATTGGTATATAGTTTTATCATGACAAGTTACAGACCAAATTTGAATTTTGTTTCGGTTTGATGATTTTTTGCAGAGTTATGGTCCTTGGACTTAGAAAATTCACTTAAATTATCAGTTTTCCGCACTTTTTTATGTCATGCTTGAAGATATTGACTTGATAATTGTTATATAGTTTACACCATGACAAGTTATAGATCAAGTTAGCATTTTGTTCCAGTACAATTAATTTTTAACCGGTAGGGGACTATGTATTGCCATGCAATACTCTCAGAATGCTTGTTTATTTGGACATTGCTTATATGTTTGCTCTTTTTTTATGTCCCCGCCATAACGGAGGGGCATTAATTTTTACCCTTGTCTGTCTGTATGTCCATCTGTGCATACGTCCCGAAATTGGTTTTCGTTCTCGTACTGTTGTTTGCCTCATCCAAATGTTATAAAACTTATACACAATGCTCATTACCACAAAACACAGATAAATTACGAATTTGGATAGCGTCACTTTTACCATTCTTGAGTTATATGCAAGAGGGGGTATCATCTGTGTCCTATGGACACATCCCCGATTTATTTCTTCACAAATTATCACTAATTGCAACAGGGTATTGATGCATAATTTCTGATTGGTTATTTATGTGAGACTTGAACTAGTAAAATAGACTTACATAGCTAGAAAAAAGTAAAATAACAAAAATACCGAACTCCAAGGAAAATTCAAAATGGAAAGTTTCTTGTCAAATGGCAAAATCAAAAGCTCAAACACGTCAAAAAAATGGAAAACAACTGTCATATTCCTGACTTGGTACAGGCATTTCCGTATGTAGAAAATGATAGATTAAACCTGGTTTTATAGCTAGCTAAACTTCTTCACTTGTATGACAGTCGAAACACTTCAAATATGAAATGTGAATATATGAGTGATCATATTTGTCTGAACAGTGTAGAAATTAATTTTTCGATATAAAAATTTTTCGGAAATAACTTCATCATAGATACCAGCAACTCTTTTCAGAAAAATTCTTATGATTGAAATTGATCGTAAGTTATACTGAAATGTGTATGACTTACGAGTATTTTTACTCTTTAAGATTTTTTGTGAAAAGAGCCGCAGGATTTAAATTTTGTACACCAGAAGTGCATTTTATCTACAAAAGACTCACCAGTGACACACGAATAAAAAATGTTTAAAAAAAAAGCCAAATAAAGAAAGAAGTTGAAGAGCATTGACGACCAAAAATTCCAAAGGATTTTGCCAAAGGCAGCTAAGGTAATCTATTCCAGGGGTAGAAAGTCCATGTAGGCATATAGAATTGAATGTTTTAAAGTCACAGGCATTTAGGTAATGTGTTAAGGTAGACATTTCTTTAGTTTGACCAGTTCAATACTTCCAATAATCTAATTTGACTTATTTTTGGTTCCCTTTCTGTTTTTGATTTAGTTAATTATTGTAGCACCATTTCTAGGTTTTACTTGTATTTTATAGGAGTATGCAGAGAATTTGAAGGACAGTGGTGTACATGGTGCTATTTTAGTTCTAGAGCCTCAATTTAATGCTGACACCTTGGCAACAGCTCTAGGCATTCCTCCGTCAAAGTCCTACATTAGACGGCATCTCAAAACCGAGTTAGAAAGTCTAGTCAAACCAGCAAGGTAAATATGTGTTTCCCTGGCAACATTGAAGTGATCTTTGTCAATGAAATGTTTGTAAGTGTTCACATTTTCTCCTTAAGCAAAAGAGCATTTGTGATCCTGGCATGTTGTTCTGTGTCTCCTGCAATTAACATGCATCATATCACTGACCGAGAAGCATGCATCTTCCCTTGCCAAGGGTTACGATCTGACCCTCTCCATTTCACCCTTGGCAGATAAAGACAGAATTTGTGTATAGAGCATAGTACCATCTAGCGACAGATAAAAGTCACTCCCACTCCGACTACATCATTATTGACCAATGACAGGACTTGTACTCTTTAGTTTGGAGGTAAATAAAAAGACTGTGTCCAGTGTTTACAAATTTCTTTAAAGCAGAAACTGCATATTTACGTTGACATTCAAACATTGCACGAGGAACATATCCTAGAATTTCAATTAGTTGATTAAGAACTTTAGAAGTGTCACTAAATATTGTCATATGTTTTGGGGATAAAGAAGCGTTCACACAATCTGCACAAGGCAATATTGTATATATATTTTCTTCATTTACATGTGATAATCTTAAAGGTGTTTTTGATTGGATACAAATAGTTACTACTGCGACCAATGGAAATCATTACCTCATGGATCCCAAATTCTGACTTAATCTGCCTAGGGTTAAGAGGATCGGGTCGGATCTTAACTCTTTGCTAGTGAAGACAAGAAGCATGGTTCATCAAATACCATACAAAAAGTTCAACTGAATGGTTTTCTTATATATAAGTTATGCAGACTTAGACTAATTGGAAAAATAAACATTCATCTTTCATTTGTATTTGTAATGTAAAATCTCATTTGTTTTTTAAAATGCACACATGTTGTCAATTTAAAGCATGTAAAAAAATAATGAGTTCTTCAATATACAGCAAAATAAAAAATGTATGCAGCATTTTATAGTCCCTTTTTCATGGTCATAGGTCATGTTCTGAATAAGTTGTTGCCATTTAAGATACAAATGAAACTTTATTTTCATGAAATTTATATAAAATTCAAAAGAAAAACACAAAAGAAGAATTCTAAGATAAAATCTTGCGATCAAAATTTATCGGAAGTTATACTAAAATAATTATGAATTATTAGTTTTTTTACTGTTCCTGAAAGCAAATTTTGAAAATATATTTACACAAAATCTTTTCTTACACAGTGATCTGATAATCTACTCAAAAAAATGATAAAAATTCCAGTCTCCTTCATTCAATAATCATTGTATTAAATCACAAGAATATTTGATTTCAACATTTATGTGTGTCCACCTTTGTACACTAATATGTGTCCACACCTTACCAATGTTTTGTTGGTTGTTTGTCCACAAGAGTGCCACTAACACAACACTAACCATTTTCTTTTTCAGAGATAATCTCACTTTAAACAATAGCTTCTCCACAATGGGCCGAAACTCAACTCTGGGTCGGTCTTTTCGTGGTCCAAATTTGGACACAAGCGGAAGCAAAAATCGTATAAGTTTCAGGGTAAGTTTTTATACATACAGACTTTACGCTATTTATAGGGACAGAAAGGATGTGTTTTGGACGAAAATGACACAAAAATATCTTGAGTTAATAGGAAATATATAATCATCAGAAATATTTTACAATATGATAGAAAAACAAAGGATATTGGGTATCCATCCATGACACAAAATCAGTACATGCACAGCAAAAAAACATACAAAAAACAAAGGAACAACGCATTTATTGCTGTTCTTTATCTCAAAGTCACAGTGAAGCCTGTTTTGACCACACCAACCATGAATTGATGAATCAGTGCTTTTTTTTTGGGGGGGGGGGGAGGGGGGAGGGGGGGCTCTTTTCTTTTATCTAAACAGATGAAAGACCCAAGGGACTCAATTTATTTTAAAAAATCAATGTGGATTGTTCCATTGTTTAATAATATTACAAGGAATTCAATAGATATGGTACAACAAGATTTAATATTTTATTGAAACTTGGCTATTTGATTACACCTCAGGTCATGTGGTTGTACTTTTCACAAGTTGTTGCCATAGTATCAAGTAGTTCATTTTGCTTTATTGATTACTTGCCAATCAGTAATTCAATAAGTTCCTAGATTCAGACGTTAGAAATTTGTTGGCCAATATAAATGACCTTATTGCTATTTGTGAATTTGCAAACGTCACCCAAGATTTTGGGACATTTAAAATATTGACTTCATATGACTATCACTTTTCTTTTGTTTCATCACTTTTAAGAGAACATCTGTGATGTTTAATAATGGCAGAAAAATAAAAAATAAAGAGGTGCATTGAATAAGTTGCCCAGAAAGAGGACAATATATAAAATAATAATGATCTTTTATCAGATACTAAAATTTCATGATATTTTGAAACATGCTTTACTTGAAGAAAAAAAAAGATTGATTTAATAGATTTAATCAAATAATAAAATAGGTATTAGAAAAAATATATTATCTGTTATTAAATAATTATAAATGTATTTATATTAATATCTTTATTTCTTTTTAGGGCTCTCTTGGCCGGGCCTTTGGCAGGAAAGTCAAAGAAGACCTCAACAAACTCACGATAGATGTAGAAACACCAAAACGCAAAATCTCCGCCCCTTCAGACTTTAAACATAACACATTACAGTCAGTGTTCGAACAGGAAGTTACACCTAAACAAAATTCATCGTAGCATTAGTCTAGTCTGTGTATTATGTTTTTTCGATTGTTTAATTCACATGTTTTGTTACTATGACAGTATTTTCTTTGAAGAGGTCTGTTCATTTTTAGTCAAAATTATTAAACTGATTCAAAAAATGAAAATTTTAATCGAAAAAGGTTTTATTTTAAAGAGATTTATCTTTATGGTCATTTTTTCAAGTATCAAAATTTAAGTGAAGTCCAACTATATATATGGTCATTTTTCTCAATTATTAATTTTTTTTTTTTCAAAATAAGATTTTTGGTTTATTTAAAGGTAGAGTCCATTGATTTTATAATTATTTTCCCACTAATTCTTAAAGTAAGGGAGATAACAATATCATAGTGTTGACTATAATGGAGTTATCTCCCTCAAGTCTTATGCACCCTCTGGAATAACCTTGTGCAGTCTCTGGTCAAAACTGTCATGGTTTACAATACATGTGAATATTGTACTACAACATGATCACACAATGTTTCAATTTTTCTTCTTTTAGGCCACACCATATGAATTTGATGTTAACTAGATTCCATTGTTCCTAATTTTTCAAAATGAAACAAAATCATTTCATGTAAAGAAATTCTGATTTGTATCAGTAAGTGCTTTTTATTTTCTCTCTGTGCTAATAGAAATTGGGAAATATTTTTTTATTCAGCCTATATATAGGTTGCTCATTCAGAAAAATAAAAAGGAGAAATTCCTTTTAATTAAAAGTTTGTGTTCAAAAATTTTAGATTTATTTTAATGAACAAATTTTTATTACAACTTTTAAATGATTATTTTTAATCTTTCAAGGCTTCAAGTCTTATAAACCCCTCTGTTAATAAAAATAACCTAATGATAGTTTTTAAAATATTCAAATATGACACATTTGTTCTTACTTTGTAAGATAAAAGTGACCACCAAAGAACAACAGAATAATTTGGTGTGGCCTAAAAGATTTCATTTTAATTCATGACATTATATTTGTTTTTTATTTCATAACAGACAGTAGATGTAATGTAGATATTAAATACAAGCATAATTCATTACTTTTTATAATTTACATATCATTTATACATAAACATAAACATAAGCATAATACCAAAGACTTAAAAGTTTTTTTCAGTATTGAAATGTAATCAAAATTATCTCCCTTTTCTTGTTAAAATATTGGGAGAAAAATGTCATAACTATAATCTATTTGAATTTTTTTGTACTTGCAATCGTAAGTTGAATAAATCATCTTGTATATTTAAGGCAAAAAGAATACTATTACATGAAATTTTTGTATTTCTCATTACAAAAAACGCATTAAAAGTTGCAGTTTGTACAAGTGGAATCTGTTTTTTCTGTCTTAGAAATACATTAACAAGGTCATATGAATTCTATAATAACATTTTTATGGACAGTTTTTTTATGACAATTTTATATGACAGAATCACATATTTTACTTATATGTTTTACTCCTTCATGATTTTATCAGATGTTTTTTTTACAAGGTCTTTCACTAGAATTATTTTTCAACATTTTTGAACTAGTACACTTAAGAATTTTATGTGAGCAATTATTTATTTTAAGATCCCATGACAATCAACTTTTTGCTGTACTTGCTAACATGACTTGATGCAATCATTTTTATTTGTATCATAAAATTTTAGTCAAATATCCCTTTAATTCAGTTGGTAGCTCTTAAGAATATTCGAACTCCCCAAATAGAATTTAACGCTCATTTATATGTTTAAAACATATGCATTTTGAATTGGTAAAAACCATGATTTGTTTATTTACAAATAATGACAAATGTATTTAACCTAATTTATCATAATACAAAAATGTATATGTATATATATATATATGTGTATAATGTGCAATATTAATGTGATAAAAAATGTGTGTTGTGAACTAATGGATTAATCGTGTACATAGCTAAAGAATCATTCACTTATAGTTTTATTATACAGTTTTTGGAAAATACTGTAAAAAATCATTTTGGATTCTCTTCAAGTCTTTGATGCCAAAGTATAAACTATCAATGAATTTATCAAAATTCTGCAAAGTAATTTTGCGATTAATATTACAGTTTTATAACCCTTACCAATTTTGACCTATTTTGAAACTGAGATTGAGCATTTATGAGTAATTTCAAAATGATATCTTCATTATCTCCCTTTGTTCATAGAGAATTCAGGATATCACAAACTTTTTTTTTTGGAAACAAGACTTGTCCCTTTCATTTTTTAAGACATTATTAAGTATTCCAGATTTGCTGTAAAAATCAAATTTGTAAATTTAGTTCTAGAAGTTTGAGTTGCAAAAATTTCACCAAAAATCCGAATATTTTTTTAGAATTCTCTATTTTTATAAACTTATGCATTCTGGATAATATTTTCAAAGCCTTCTGATTTGTTAACAAGTTCTTAAACAATGGATATGTTACCAAGGATATGACCTTCTTTTTATTTTTGTGTACAGACAATAAAATTACCCATAATCCTTTAGGTTCTGAAGTGGACAAATGATACAGAGAATCCATTCATTTTTAAATTAACTTTGAAACAAAATATTTGTAAATGATGTATTAATAAGAGTAATGTTTGTTATTTATAGGTTTACAGGGTTGTTAAAATCATGACATGATAAGGCCACATCTACTATATTTTTTGGGGAATTTTTCTTGAACCAAGCGTTGTAAATTTTTTTAGTTTCGTTCCATAGATCCTAATCAACTTCCTGATTGCTCCTGCAGCTGAGTTATAATTAGATTATTTACGAGATAAATAAGAGAACTTTTTACTGAAAATTTGATTCCAGCACAGTGAAAATTTTCCATGAAATCTTACAGGACTTGAGTTGTTACATAGAAATCCAGGACTCAGTATTCCAATATGATTTTTGCCTCTATATGGACTGATTTTAAATTTTGAAATACTGAATTCCTGTATCAAATCTAGGCAGCTGCTTGTCCTGAAATTCTCTGTTGTTTTTTTTTATTTCTCGTGCTGGTACTACCGTTGTGTGTCTAACAAAAAACAAAAATTTTAATTTCAGAATTTCAAATCATCAGAATGACATTAGAGAGGGAATTCAAGATTTTGTTAGGGCTTACTACAAAATCTGTTGTATCTTATTATGATCCAATAACCAGGGAACCCCTTATGGAGCTACATATACATAATGCGTAGACTTTTCACAAGTCCCACTCCTAATGTTGCCTTGGTGGAGTCCCTTTTTCAAAGTACTGGATCTGTAACTGCCCATATTTCTTTAGATTCTGAAAATCAGGATTGATAAAATTTATAATAATTGTTGTTAGAATAAATTTTAATGCAGGACATTTTGAAAATATAATTCTGTTAAAGTTTCAGGTGATGCAAGGTTTTTTTTTAAAAGTAGATATTTTTATAGTTTTATTTAATTTACAAGCATTTTTAAATTTATTTAATGAGACATGTTTGTGATGTGTATGTTAGATAGTGAGTGTGAGTTGAGGTCAATTGTACATTTAAAGTTTTATGTATATTTTGAAGCTTTTAGCTTAAAGCCTAAAATTAAAATCAAAAGTATTTCAAATGTCATTGTTCTTTTGTATGATGAGTTTATCTACAATCACTGGGTCAATGCCACGGCTAGTGGAGATTTCCTCCTTGAGGGTATCACAAGCCCAGTAGACAGGGCGTTTGTGTTGGGATGAATTATCATTGATATGGTCATAGTTTTAAATTAACTGCTTACAAAACTTTCAATTTTTTCGAAATACTACTAAGAATTTCTACCCCAGGAAAAGATTACCTTAGCTGTATTTGGCAAAACCTTGCAGAATTTTGGGACCTTAATGCTCTTCTACTTCATACTTTACCTGGGCTTTTTAACCTTTTTTGATTCGAGCTATCCTGGAGTCTTTAATCCTAATATCTATGATTAGTTTATGTACACAAGCAAACATGACTAATTTTAAATCTGAACCGACGAAAGGATTTTTTAAGGGTTTTATCATTTGAGTTTAATACATGTATTAAAACTGTACAGTTTCCAAATCATTTATGAAAAAAACTTTTATAGGAAACCGGGACATCCATATCTAGATTTTGTTGGTAAATCGCGAAAAAAAAGACGGCGTAAAAATTTCCCTGTTTACAGTATACCCATGTAATCAATAAAATTGATATCCCACGAATAAGAGCGAATCAACTTTATATCATGTTAAAGATTTAAATCAAATAACCTCAGTCTACTAAAAATATACAAGGCAAAGACTTGATGAGGGCTAAAAATAAAAAAACGCCTGGGTGGGCTTTTGGTAGCGTGCTTGCCTCAACTGCAGGAAGTTGTGTGTTTGATCCTAAGCTGGGAAGACTTATAAATAGGCATTTGCTGCTTTTCAGCTAAGCAGGAGTCAATTAGTGGTATAAACAAAGATTGGTCAGCTCCGATTCAAAATAATGTGCCATGGAAGGGCGATGTGATTTACTGCAGACTTTTACCAAGCGAACAAGCATGTTAAAAAATCTGTCTTAGTGTTTCGCGGTGTAGTACAAAGCAAGGTCTATATTTATATATTATGTTCTCATCCTGAATATGCATTTAATTTGTAACTGGACAGTCATCAGGAAAATGGCCACTGTTATATTATAGTTCGTTTCTGTGTGTGTTACATTTTAATGTTGTGTTTCTGTTGTGTCGTAGTTCTCTTATATTTGATGTGTTTCCCTCAGTTTTAGTTTGTAACCCGGATTTGTTTTTTTTCTCAATCGATTTATGAATTTCGAACAGCGGTATACTACTGTTGACTTTATCTATCTATCTAAGGACTTTCAAAAAAAGCCCAACAAACAACACGTGGTTCAGAGCATAATTTGGTACAGGAACAAAATGCAGTGGAATTAAACCACTTAAACTGTGCACAAATCTACCACTTTGCCTATCTAGAAATTATGTTGTAAAAGTAGAACACAAGAAAAATCTGCTGTCCAGCTACCAACAGGATGACCACTTGATAACTTGGACGTAGAAATAAAAGATGACAGTGTAAAAATGTGTTCATTACTACAGGAATCTAGCTGGTGCCACATGTGGAGCAATATCTGTTAACCCTTCTGGAGCACCTGAGATCACCCTGGTTTTTGGTGGGGTTCATGTTTCTCAGTCTTTAGTTTTTTCTATGTTGTGTTTTGTATACTGTTGTTTGTCTTTTTGTCTCTTTCTTTTTTTGCCATGGCATTGAGTTTATTTTCGATGTTTGAATGTCCCTTTGGTATCTTTCGCTTCTCTTTTGCTTCAATGCATTGCTGAAATGAAGAATTATGGGTATACTTAATATTAAGGTTTTTTTTATTTAGGCAACAGTTGACCAAATTGTCTGCATTTCAAATAAGATTAAGGCAATATAGCAATATATTAAATGCTAAGGTAACACTGATGTTGATTTTTTAATATTAAAAAAATGATTTTGTTAATATCAAAATATCAGCATATTATTTAATATTAAAAATTCATTTATTAATATTAATAAATCGGACTGAATATTTAATATTAAAAAAATGATTTTGTAATATTAAAAAATCAATTTTTTAATATTAATAAATGATTTTTTAATATTAATAAATAGGGAATAAATTCCACAACGGCTTGCCATAGCAGGTTTCATACGACCGCCAAAATATTTTGCAGTCGTATATTGGTATGACGTTGGCGTCATCGTCTTTGTCCGAAGACACATTGGTTTTCGCACTCCAACTTTAGTTTAAGTGAATAGATCTCTATGAAATTTTACCATAAGGTTCAATACCTCAAAAGGAAGGTTCGGATTGATTATGGGGGTTATGGTACCAACAGTTGAGGAATTCAGGCCAAAAAGGGGTAAAAAATAAGCATTTTTGTAACTTCCAGACATAACTTGTGTGTTAGTGTATGGACTATGGATCTCTCTGACATTGTACCACAGTGTTCTATATCTCAAAGAGAATGCTGGGATTGATTTTGGGGGTAATTGCCTCCAAATATAAGGAATAAGGGGCCAAAAAAAGCATTTTTCTAGTTTCAGGACAATAACTTGTGTGTAAGTGTGTGGATCTTTATGAAATTGTACCACAAGGTTCCATATCACAAAGGGAAAGCTGGGTTTGAGTTTGGGGGATTTGCCCTAAACATTTAGGAATTTGGGGTAAAAAAGGGGCCAAAAAACAAGCATTTTTCTAGTTTCCAGATAATAACTTGTGTTCAAGTGTAAGGATCTCTCTGAAATTGTACTGCAAGGTACCATACCACAAAGGGAAAGCTGGGATTGAGTTTGGGGGTGATTAATCATAAGGGTTTTTTTTTCCTTTTTTTTTCTTTAAAATTTTCCATTTTAAATTGGTTATTTCTGATTTATATATAAAAGCAAATAATAATGATATGGTTTGAATAGTTAAATTAATTTTTTTTAAGTTCTTAGACCACATTCATTCTGTGTCAGAAACCTATGCTGTGTCAAATGTTTAATCACAATCCAAATTCAGTGCTGTATCAAGCTTGAATGTTGTGTCCATACTTGCCCCAACTGTTCAGGGTTCGACCTCTGCAGTCGTATCAAGCTGCGCCCAGCGGAGCATTTTATTTAATTTATTCACCTCAAAGCAGTCAACAAAGAATAAACAAATACAAACAGATTTTTAAAGATTATTTTTAATCATTTTATACATTTCAAGTTAACCTGTATAACATCTAATTGATTTTAAAATGTTTACAAGCTCATGAATAACAACAGAATCAGTATAAAGGGAGTTAACTCATAAATATCTCACCAGATGGGAGATAACTCAGAAAAATCTCACAAGATTGGAGATAACTCTAGTATTCTTATAAAGAACACAACTTTTAAAATACTATGCACTACAAGTAATAATTATATTTCATTGGATTTCAATATTTTTAAAAACTATGTGTCAATTAGATTTTTGTAAAAACATTTATTTATAGTACGGCTAGTGTAGAAAAAAATATGGATGGAAACTACATAATTATATTTCTAGGATTTCAAAATTTGTTAAAACTATCTGTAAATTACTTTTTGTAAAAACATTCATGTATAGGACGGCTAGAGTAGAAAAAATATGGACGGAAAATGAAAAATGTCACAGTTTAAAAAAATTAACTTTCAGACATGCACTTAAAAAAATAGTATATTTGAGCATGCGCTGGTAGTTGCCATGTGTAAGCTAAATAATGAAAATAGTATTTTGATAAAAACAAAAATTTTGATGATTAAAATAATTTGATCGTTTTCCAATAATGTTCAATGTTCAAGTTGATAATGGAATGCATCGAAGTTAAAAATCAATAAAAGTAAAATGTCAAATGTTAAAAGCTTTTCTTGTTAAACTTGAAATTTTCAAATACATTATCCTCACGATAATTATTTCAAGAATTACGATTTTGATGCTTTATGATATATATTGATTTCACATACACAAGAGTATGACATAATGTTTCCAAGTGTCTAAACACAATACAGATATACCATGGATTGTTATGATTCATGGTATACCAATTTTTCGTGGATTTCACATGTATAGGTGAACATCGAATTAAAATGTTCAGAAAGTAAAAATTTTCTGTACGCTTGAATGTAGACTTTGGCAAAATCATGAAATCAATTATCCACGAAAACTGGTACCCACGAAAATAAATTTATATGAATCCAAAGTACCATTCATTTGTATGTAAATATATAAGCACTATAATAAAATGATTTTATTAACAGTGAAACCTGTCTGACAAAAGTTATCCTTATACTGAAAACCTGTCTAAAGTGAACTCTTTTATCAAAGATATACCGTGGATCTATGTATTTTCATGGGTACCAATTTGCGTGGATTGTGGAAAAAGTTGTGTATTTCTAAATATTTGATTTCGTGGATTTGCCAAAGTCTGATTACAAGCCTATAGAAAATGTTTCTTAGTTGAACATTTCAATTCATGGTTTACTTGCACCCATGAAATCCACGAAATTTCATACCCCATAAATAATAAATAATCAACAGTAAAAGGAAAACCCATTTATAATTTGACCTGTGTAAACCAAAAAATATCTTCAAACTCAACAGGGTTTAATTTAGAAAGTTTTTACCGAATACATATATTTCACTGATTTTAACCTCTTTTGTGTTTACTTTTCTAAATTGATGACCCACATTTGTATTAGTTTGAATCTGAATCAATTTCGATATAAGAGTAAAAAAGAAGGTCTAAGGCAGTTCCAAATTCAAGAGAGGCCAAAGCCATTTAAGAACAGTTTGTTTCTTTGGTCAGCTAGACACAAATTGTGTTTTTGACTTTAAAAGTTATTTGGTGTTTATGGCTTTTTTAAGGAAGAAAATAGGGCTTCAATTCAATGAAATATGAATATTTGAAAGAAAAAGAAAATAAGCAAAAATTGAGAAGTTATCTCCCCTTAAAAAGAGTGTAAAACACAGCACACATTAAATACACAGCAATAAAGAAAAATGTAAAAAACAATATCTATAAAATATGATACAGATTAATAATTAATAAACAAATATATTGGACAGAATTGAGACATTGAATCATAAATACTGGTCAGTGTACCTGTGACTTTAAAGCACTTTTAACAGTCAATATATATATATGAATTTTAATAAATAAATAAATTAATTAAAGCGTCTTGTAAAACTTATAACCTTAAAAAATAATAAAGTCTCCAGATATATAATAAATATCAACAATTTAAATGCCTGAGAAAACCAAGGCATTATTTTTTTTTAAACCTAAACTTTAATATTTGATCCTCAAAATCAATTATAACTTATTTTGAAAGCTTAAATTTAAAAAATGTAACAGTACAATTTTGTCACGATCAAACTATTTAAAACCAAGTTGTATTTATTAACAATTTAAACATATCACGATTTGATTTTATCAGGTAAAATTAAGAAAATGAACCAAAAATAACAACACATTTTGACAAGAAATTTAAAAAATGACTGCTTTTTTTTATCGATATACTCAACGAAAAATCGAAAGTAGAATATATCGGTATTTACAGTCCTTCTGTCAATTTCTTGATCTTATCTACTGAAGATAATATTTTTCAAAAAAGTCTTAACTTTACTGTAAAATTCACATAACTACTTGAAAAATATCCATTTCTGTATATTTGAGGTGATCTATAATATAGTGTTGAATTTTCACTTATTCCTTCTTCTTTTTTTCTCAAATATAAATTTTATTTAATGTGTTAAATCCAGTTAATTTTTAGACTTAAGTTTCTAAATAACAGATTGCTTCCTTAAGCAAAGATTTATTTTTTTTGTGGAAAATTTAAAAAAGATACCAATGGCACAGTAAAAAACATGAAGAACAGATTAGACTATGGCCAAAAGAAAACAGATGAAAAGACAAGAAGTCCAAAAACTAAAGATTATTGACCCATGCCTAACTTAAAAATGGAAGTTAACTCAAATGCTCTAAAATTGTAAGCATTTCATGCTTGACCATTTCATGCTTGACCAGTGGTATTCGTATGTTTCTTCTGTTAAATAATACCCTCAAACCACTCAAAAATAAATTTAATACATGAAACAAATTATTTTTTTTTAAATATCAAAATACTACTTATGTTGAATAAGGATCAAGTTTTTAAAACTTTAAACACTTAGGTCTATTAAATATATACCAACTGTACCTAGGTGTCTGCATAATTAAATTTTTATGTCATAGGGTGAAATTCTGGAATGTTTTGAAAAATATTACCATTAAAGTATAGGTGTGACAAACAATTTGTAAATTCAAATTGTTAATTGTATCTTATATATACCTTGGGTTTATTAATTTTCGTAAGTACCTATTTTCGTGGATATTTTACTTCATGGTTTTGCCAAAGTCTGCATCAAAAGCCTATAGAAAATTTCTACTTTGTTGATCATTTAAATTCTTGGTTCAACTGTACCCACGAAATCAACAAAAAAATTGGAATTCCACGAATAATGATGAATCTATGGTATATATGTTCTCCCAACTAATTTTACATGTATTTTGCGAACTATTAATTCAGAAAAAAGAAATGAATAAGAAATGTGACCTAAATCGATAAAAAGTCAATAAAGGTCAATCATGCATAACAAAATAAATATAGAATAAATGGACGGTTTGTTTGACGTAATTCCTACATAATTAAGAACCTATTTAAAACGATAAAATCTTTATAAAAGACATTTATAATTTAAATTAAAATTATACATTTTAACTTGGCAAATGTCATCACATAAAGTTAGTTACACTATTGTATTTCAGTCTGAAGAACAAAGCATTAGCTTAATTAAAAACAAAGGAGAGGAGCCAAGAAGACCTTAATTTAGCCCTAAAAATCAAACTTTGTAATATTATATTGAAAAATCTTTGTTAATGATCTAAAATATGCAAATTAAGATAAACTAGACGATTCTTCTGTCCATTGTTCAGTTTTAACAACTTTGACAGATTCCAAAGTGTGATATTTTACCAGTTGTTAACAGTTGATAACCAGAACAATTCAGTCGTTATTTTCTGCTGCTCTACGATGGCTTGGAAAAAAAGGACACTGAAAGGGATTGAGTTATTCGAGCTACCATATAACCTTTTTTTTTATACATTTGTAAAGTCTATTTCCTTTTGAAAAATCATTGGACAAACCCTTCAACCAAAATCGTTTTCTAATCAAAAGATGTATATGGATACACAACCTGACAAACATTTTGGTGCTCCATACTTGTAGCCAATGTTGTATAAAAAAATTAGCAAAATGTCATAATTATCATTTTAATAATAAGTGTGCACATGTGCAGTTTAAGAGTTGTTATGCATCAAAGCTGTTGATTTTGTATTTGTGGGACATTTTTTTACATATGAGCTGCGTACGATAAAAATTGACCTTATGCAAATGAATATCAATATATCAGTTAACCTATTTCAGGTTGAAAAAATATCTTCGGAAAGTCTGTAAGTGTTTAAAAATTCAGTTGCTATAAAAACCCTACAAAACAGACTAAAATTCTTCTTTTATTTCGTATTTCGTATTTGAATGTTCCAAAATCAATCAAAGTCTTATACATGTACATGTATACGTGCACTTGCATAAGGTCAATTTCTATCCAACGCAGCTCATATGTTGTTATCAAATGATTAACTGAAGTTAAATTTCAAGGAATTTTAGGGTCAACATTGACTTTTCATGAACCTACTCCTTTTGATATGCTATGGACTGATTGGAGGACAAAAATACACAATGCTTGAAAATACCATTGAAAATCAATTATCAAACTGCATTTTGAGTTGAGACGAACAGAGAGAATAAAAACTAGTATTTCCCTAATTGAAAGGGTAGAGACATAGTACCGGTAATCTTGGTTGAGGCTTACAGTGGTCTACTAGTTCACAACTTATATATATAACAAATACTAAAATTGTTCAAGAGCAATGTCAAATTTTACATAATACTTCAAATAGTCTACACACTGCACAAATTATACTACTCATCTTTAAACAATGTTTGTATAATTGTCCATGAAAAGAAAACTGAAAATTTTTCAAAAGATATATGTACTACCAGTATTGTATTGCCCCCTCCCAAAAATAAACATTAGCTCCCTAACTCCTTATTAAGGTAGATGGGGTGTCTAAATTATAATCCATAGAATTTTTTAATAATTTGCCAAAATGTAGTTTATATCATGCTTTTTAAAATAAAACAATAAAAAGAATGGGTCACGGGGCTTATTTTCACGCTACAGGTTGTGCAAAATTGACAGATTTTGTATAGATTATGCATGGAAAACCCAATTTTATGCCATAAAACGAAAACTACACCATAGAATTTTGAGATAAAATATGAGAAGATAGCTCTAATAGTATGCTTTCAGATAAGAAAAAGAAAAAATGGGGTCACGGGACCCGTTTTCTTGCTACATAATAAAATAGGTAAATTCCTAACACATTCTATTGTAAAAGTAACTTTATCTGAATTATCTGCCCTTACATTTGAGTTGCCTCCCCTTATGTGGCAAAGTTGGAAAAAATAGAATCAAACAAAAGTATTCTGTTTTTCTGTAAAATACAACCATAAATATGAATAAATATGTCATTTTCTCTATTGAAATGAAAATTCTTACACATGAATTACCTACTACTCTCAAAATTTGCACCTTTTATTAAAGATCTAGACCGATTGTTTTCTTGTATTTCAAAATCCAAGATGGAGGAAGACACCCTATCTACCTTAAATCATTCTAAAATAATCTTTTTAAATTTTTACCAAATTTTATAAATGATTTTCTGTACTAAAAAAATATTTTGAAAGACTCTTTTCCTTTCTATTCAAAACAATGAACAAACAATTAATTTCGGATTGTTTTTCTTTAAAAAAATTGACTTTTAAGTCTCCTTCAAACAATTTCATATAAATGTCAATGCAAAGTGGAATTCTTTTCAAAAACATTTAACTAAAATCAAATGAAAATTTTCAAGTTTACTTTTCAACAACAAAAACAAACAACTGAATTTTTAAAATTTCAAATAATTATAAATAAATAACAAAAATAAATACAATATCACAGATACAGCTATCCCATGATTCCAAGTGAGAATTATGGGATGTAAAATGGAGGGAATACTTATAACAAAGATGTTGACATGTGAACAAATCAAGAGTTAGCTCCCTTTGAAAATGGACGGCATACTACTGGCATATTTACACATAATGGTTAAATAAAAGTTTTGTTGAATAAAAATGATGATATCAGATCAGATCGTGAGTTTTAACTGTGTACAAAAAAAAAATGTTCATTTACAATAAAATGACATCTAAATGTGCAGGGGACACTCTCTGAAACAAATGACAAACGCTCTGTTACAAAGAAATGCCCTTTTTGTGTAAAAACACAATCAACAACTTCTAAACATTTTTGTGTACAAACACTATCACTCAACTATGTGTGGTATGTTTATACGACATCATAAGAAAAAAAAAAACATAAATGCATTCAACATTTCAAATCTTAGCTGGCAATAAAATAGTCACCCAAAAAATTCCTGAATATCATGTAAAAATAACTCTGATGAAAATATTCTTTAACAAATTTATATATCTTTGTTCTAATTTATGAACCATGATTCTTTTCTGTTAAAGAACACCGGAAGTTTTCTTTTTTAACTAAAACAAACAAATATAAATTATCCGTAACAACACATAAAATTAACCATAATTAACAGATATTTTCTCTTGTAAAATTTGTTCAAATTTAACAACCATGATCACATGACATCTTTAACAACTTGTCCTCCATTTTGGACTAGACGTTCGTCCCTTTTTATATGTTCATCACAAGTTCCGTTAACATTTGTGAATAATTTTGTTCCACACTTAACGAAGGCAGTGTCACAGATTTGTCGCCTTCACGTAATGTCACTAATTGTAAGGAGGCTGTTCCTCCGTAGCCATTTTTATTGTCCAATGACAAATGCGGTAAATACTTGTCAGCAATCGTATCAACCAAGTAAGGATCTTCTCCAGAAACAATAGCCTTAGAGTTAGTGATGTGTACCTTAGTAGGTATTGTAACCTTCTTCTGTCTGCTACAAAAAAAAAAGAAAATACTCAAATTGATATTTTTCAAACTAAACTGATGAACATACAAAATTAAATTAAAACCTTTTTACCTGAATCAAAGCTTAAGAAACAAAGAAAATAAATCTAAAGTTTTGACATTTCATGTATTTTAAATACCCAAGAAGTTGCCATAGCAACCAAGAATTTTTTTGTGGGAAATGAAATATATTTTGATATATCTCAATGGTTAGAACAGTTTTACAAAGTATGAACCAATTCTATGACATGTCATTTCAACATGTTTTGATGCCTACAGAGAATGACTCCTAATACTTTTTTTTTACAAAATGAGTGATCCATAGAGGCCCCATGATGTAGATTACTGGTCCATAGTGTACCTTAACTTAATCACATTCTATATGTCCCATTCCCAGAATTAAGGCCTATAGTCCAGTGGTTGTTGTTGTTTGTTTCCTGCCATATTTGTTTTCGATTTAATATTATTACTAGTTTAAACATCTGTCGGTTTTCCCTTTTGAATTCTTTCACTTTTTTTTTATTCCAGGGTATTTTAAAGCTTATCATATGCCCTTTTCAACTTTTTAGTTTGTTCTGATGTTGTGCTGTTTCACCACTGTCCCAGGTTAAGAGGAGTGTTGGGCACCCGCTAACATGTTTAACCCTGCCACATCGTGTTCCAAGTCAGGAGCCTGTAATTCAAGTTGGATTCGTTTGTTGTTTTTTGTCGTTGGCTTTATTGTTTAAATGGTTTTGCATTTGGTCATATCAGGGCCTCTCATAGCTTGCTATGCGGTATGGGTTTTGCTCATTGTTGAAGACTGTACAGTGACCTAAAGTAGCTTACATCTATGTCATTTGGTCTATGGTGGATATATGTCTCATTAGTTCAATTAAATGTGACCTTCTCAAAGAATTTTTTCTTGAATAAAATGTATACACCTATAACAATAATTGTTACATACCTTCCCCGTCTAATTGACCCTTGATCTTTATGACCTTCTGGTTTAACCCTATCAAACAGTTTCTTCATCCACAAGTCTGTATCTCCTGTTATTATAAGCTTTCTCTCTTGAGCAGGTCGAGATGGTTTCTTCATCTTGTCTTCTGGGGGTGTTATTGGTCGAACATCTGAAAAATAACCAAAGATAAAAAAAACTACTAATGAGCTAAAAAGAAATGTCTTTTAACTATATATGAATCATCTCCATTTGGATCGAGTACTATAAAACCTAATCCTTGACTTACTGAAATGATTTACATGACATGATGTGTTGTTCCTGATCACTGTTTCACTTCTATAAAAAAAAAAACTCTATTTTTATGTCAATTTCAAACAAGAATGTGTCCATAGTACATGGATGCCCCACTCGCACTATCATTTTCTATGCTCAGTGGACCGTGAAATTGGGGTCAAAACTCTAATTTGGCATTAAAATTAGAAAGATCATATCATAGGGAACATGTGTACTAAGTTTCAAGTTGGACTTCAACTTCATCAAAAACTTTAACCTGAAGCAGGACAAACAGACGGACAGATGGACGGACGAACAAACAGACCATAAAACATAATGCCCCTCTACTATTGTAGGTAGGGCATAAAAATACCAGTTCTGGCACTCTAAAATTGACATAAACATAAAATCTTGAATTTCACAAACATCTTCTAAGAAAACACCTAATTATAGGCTAATATTAAGTTCTGTTGGGCAACATGAAACATATATCTTATATTGCTGAAACTCACAATTCAATGTATAAATAAAAAGAATGCAATCACAACCATTTCCCCCTCCACCCCCTTATATTCTAAAATCTGCTAATACACAGTGCCTTATTTCACAAAAAATCTTTGTATGTCATGAATATTTCAGTATAACTTACAATCAATTTTTGTAAGAGTTTTTGTGAAAAGAACCCCAGATTCTCCTGTAGATAAATTAAATATTGACTGTCACTGTCATTTTAAGTGACAGATTCAAGATACTGTAAATTCAGAAATTATTGCGAGGTTTTTATTAATGCGAATAACGCGACAACTGGAGTATCGCAATAATAAGAACTCGCATTCTGATATCAAATACATATATCTGTATGTTGCTTTTCCTAATACGCAATAGTTGAACACGCATTTTTAAAAAATCGCAATAATAAATGCACACAATAATTTCTGAATTTACACTATTCTAATTTACAATTTCCAATGTTTATAAAGGAACAACTTTTTTCTTATGTTTTACATTTTGAAAAAGGCAGGCTATATATTTGTACCATGTGTTGTAAGTTGCTCTGTGTTTTCGTTTGTTTGTCCATTTTTTCGAAACAGATGGCTGCTGTGGTCAATTGTACGGTCGGAATATTTTTTGGTGATTCATATTATCCTTCTTTTGTTGTTTATTATTAGAAAATTTTTGTAGTAGGATAAAAATAATTGTTGACCGACATTTTTCAGCTTTCTGTGGCAATCAATAATATACTTAAGAGTCTTACTTTTGCCTTTGGCAAATGTAGAATCATTATATTAATTGGACAATAAATCATTTACTTATATAAAGCCTCATTGAACTTCTAGGAAGATGATTAATTAATTAAGATCGGGGATTCATTATACTAATTACCTATTGATTTGTGCTCAAAATCAACATACGACCATTAAGTACAATAGAAATGGAGAATAAGAATAAAAGGAAATGCTGGTTATACTTAAATATAAGACAAAATGCTGAAGATGCCAAAATGGCATAAGTTATCTAAAGGTCAATGTATGACCTTCAACTATTAACAAGTGTCTATACAAAATGTCAAGCTCTAAATTGTCCAAAGTCAACATCTGACAGGTGTTAAAAAATTTTATTAAGATCTCAAGTCTCCCCCTTTTTTATTCTTATTTAGTGGTATATACTTGAAAGTGACAACAAGCAAAAGATACAAAACACATAATACAAAAGCTATTTAGAAGTCAATGTATGGCCTCTATCAAACCAGCAAGCAAAAGATACAAAATACAAAATATAAAAAGTATTTAGAGGTCGTTGTATGACCTTCAACAATTAACAAGTGTCTATATATATACAATATGTTCAAGCTCTCAATGATCTTGAGTATGTAAAACTTGTGATTGAGTTAACCAGAAAAAAATCAAAACCTGCCGTCAACGCCAAATTCTCCAAATAAATAGGAAATAAAGAGCTGTGCCATGAGCGCATGATACGCCTGTTGCTTTTTCAAAGAATAAAGTTCCATAACTCCTCAATGTCATATCAGAAATTTATAAAAAACTAAAGGGAGGTTATTTTAATAGATATAAACCAGTCACCAAAGTTTCATGAAAACTACTAAAAGCACTTTTGAGTTATTGTCCGAAAATTAGAAAATTACCCCTTTTTTATGAATAAAATCCCATAACTCAGAAACGTAAAATTTAAGATTTATAAAAATCGAAAATCACCAAAGTTTCATAAACTGCTCAAAGCATTTTTGAGTTATGGTCCGAAAACTGGAAAATCCCCCTTCTGTAAAAACCCCTTAACTTTTTTTAATGAATAAAACCCCATAACTCGGAAAAACGTAAAATCTAAAATTTATAAAAACCGAAAGGGAACTCACATCAATAGATATAAATAATTCACCAAAGTTTCATGCAAATTGGTTAAAGCATTTATGAGTTATTGTCCGACATGTTGATGACAGACGGACGGACAACGGTATACCATAATATGTCCAGTAAACGGGCTTATTAAAAAAATAAGATATGACATTAAAGTAACCATTGACAAGGTCCCTGACTTGGGACAGGCACATGAACATTTAACTTTTTAAACTAGATTTATGAGATTTCATTCTTCTCCCTTTTTGATCTCATTTCATGGGGTTATACTTGAAGTTGAAAGAGGCAGCAAGCAAAATATACAAAATACAAAACACCAACAGTTATTTAGAGGTTATTTATAATTTTGTATGACCTTTAATAGTAAACAAAAGTCTATGCAATGTCTCAAACTCTAAATCTCCTCACAAGAGTGCACACGCTGAAATGTCTCGCCTTCTTTACTAATCATTGATATTATGTTGATAGTCCTAAATATAAAGCTTTATTACAACTGTCACATAAACTTAACATTAACCAAGTAAACTAAACATTGACCAATGAACCATGAAAATGAGGTCAAGGTCAGATGAACCATGCTAGGCAGGCATGTACAGCTAACAATTCTTCCATACAACAAATATAGTTGACCTATTGCTTATAGTTTAAGAAAAACAGACGAAAACACAAAAACTTAACACTGAGCAATGAACCTTGAAAATGAGGTCAAGGTCAAATAAAACCTGCGTGACTGACATATAGATCATAAAATATTTCCATATACCAAATATAGTTGAACTATTGCATATAGTATTAGAAAAAAAGACCAAAACTCAAAAACTTAACTTTGACCACTGAACCATGAAAATGAGGTCAAGGTAAGATGACACCTGCCAGCTAGACATGTACACCTTACAATCATTCCATACACCAAATATAGCTGACCTATTGCATGCAGTATTAGAAAGAAAGACCAAAACTCAAAAACTTAACTTTGACCACTGAACCATGAAAATGAGGTCAAGGTCAGATGACACCTGCCAGCTAGACATGTACACCTTACAATCATTCCATACACCAAATATAGTAGACCTATTGCATACAGTATAAGAAAAACAGACCAAAACACAAAAACTTAACTATAACCACTGAACCATGAAAATGAGGTCAAGGTCAGATGACACCTGCCAGTTGGACATGTACACCTTACAGTCCTTCCATACACCGAATATACTAGACCTATTGCTTATAGTATCTGAGATATGGACTTGACCACGAAAACTTAACCTTGTTCACTGATCCATGAAATGAGGTCGAGGTCAAGTGAAAACTGTCTGACGGGCATGAGGACCTTGCAAGGTACGCACATACCAAATATAGTTATCCTATTACTTATAATAAGAGAGAATTTAACATTACAAAAAATCTGAACTTTTTTTTCAAGTAGTCACTGAACCATGAAAATGAGGTCAAGGACATTGGACATGTGACTGACGGAAACTTCGTAACATGAGGCATCCATATACAAAGTATGAAGCATCCAGGTCTTCCATCTTCTAAAATATAAAGCTTTTAAGAAGTTAGCTAACGCCGCCGCCGCCGCCGGATAGCTATCCCTATGTCGAGCTTTCTGCGACAAAAGTCGCAGGCTCGACAAAAACTGTAATAGCTGTAAATAATTTAAACAGAAACAATGAAAAATCTGCTGTCGACTTCAACACCAAATTCTTTAAATAACAAGGAAAACCCAATAAGATATGACATTAAGTAATAATTTACAAGGTTCCTGAGCATGTGACAGGTGTTAAACTAGTGTATTTACATCTCAACCCTCCCCCTTTTAAATATCAATTAGCTGGATATATTTAATATAGATAACAAGTCAAAGATTCAGAATTATTGAACCAAAAGTTATCTATAGGTAAAATTAAGAGAGGGAAGACGCAAATGAGCAAACAAAAATCCAATAAGAGCAGACAACAGTGGCCAAAAATAAAAATTTACAAAATGGCAAACATCAATAACTTAGGATAACATTAAAATAAACTGTTAACACAGAGATATGTCTAGCCTTTTTTTTATTTTGATAATGCAAATGTTGAAATTTAAATAGCAACTAGAACACACCTGCGAATTGCAGGCAATTAGAGCGTGGTTGAAAGTATGTAAACTGTAGTAGGATGAATTTTTGTAAAAGATTTTATGACTGGAGAATTTCAGGAAAGTTATCAAAAATCACAGGTACTGCGACAGGACAATATTTTCTAGCCTGCTCCCTTTTTTCCAAAGTTTGTTATTTTTTTTTTTTTTTCTGTTAATTTCAATTATTTTCGTGTTTTCTGTATACTATGAACATACATAATTGTTTATCATAAATAAAGTGTATCTGCTATTTACTATCAATTCCAACTTTATCATATACACAGTGGTCACTGATATATTATATAGAGAGTCTCTATATTTTATAGTAGTCATAATGATCATAATATACATGCAGATAAACGCTAAGTACTTATGAAAAGATGACGGAAACAATATCCGGACG